ATGCTCGACCAGCTGCTCAATGCCAAGAACTATGCCACTCAGCGTGGTGCTGCGTACGGCTTGGCTGGTATTGTGAGTGGCAAGGGTATCTCGACTCTGCGGGAGTTCCGCATCATGAGCTTGCTCACGGATGCACTTGATGATAAGAAGGAGCCTCACAAGCGCCAGGGTACTGTCTTGGCATATGAACTTCTCGCCACAGTTCTGGCACGTACCTTCGAGCCCTATGTCATACAAATCGTTCCGCAGTTGCTTGCTGGTTTCGGTGATATGAGCATTGATGTCCGTGACTCTTGCCTGGATGCTTCGAAGGCTTGCTTCCAAAACCTCAGTTCTTATGGTGTGAAGAAGATCCTGCCTACGCTTTTGGATGGATTGGACGATACCCAGTGGCGCAGTCAAAAGGGAGCTTGTGAGCTCTTGGGTGCCATGGCATATCTTGATCCACAACAATTGGCCGCTAGTCTACCTGATATCATCCCCCCGCTTACCATCGTCCTCAATGATACCCACAAGGAGGTTCGCAATGCTGCCAACCGCAGTCTTAAGCGCTTCGGCGAGGTTATCAGCAACCCCGAGGTCAAGAGCCTGGTTAACGTGCTCCTGAAGGCCCTCAGTGACCCAACCAAGTATACTGATGAGGCTTTGGATGCCCTGATCAAGGTGTCATTTGTTCACTACTTGGACGCGCCCTCGCTGGCTCTTGTGGTGCGCATTCTCGAGCGTGGCCTGGCAGATCGTTCCGCTACCAAACGCAAGTCTGCCCAGATCATTGGCAGCTTGGCACATCTCACTGAGCGTAAGGATCTCACTGCGCATCTGCCAATCATCATCGCTGGTCTCAACATGGCCATTGTCGACCCTGTCCCTACTACTCGGGCCACCGCTTCCAAGGCTATGGGTTCACTTATCGAGAAGCTTGGGGAGGATGCTCTGCCCGATCTCATTCCCAACCTCATGAACACCCTCAAGTCGGATACCGGCGCTGGCGACAGACTTGGATCTGCCCAAGCCCTTTCCGAGGTGCTTGCCGGTCTGGGTACTACCAGACTCGAGGAGACTCTACCCACCATCCTCCAAAACGTTTCCAGCTCCAAGGCCGCTGTTCGCGAGGGCTTCATGACTCTCTTCATTTTCTTGCCCGCTTGCTTCGGAAACAGCTTTGCCAACTATCTCAGCAAGATCATTCCACCTATCCTTTCTGGTTTGGCTGACGACATCGAGTCCATTCGTGAGACCTCTCTGCGTGCTGGTCGTCTGCTCGTCAAAAACTTTGCCACCAAGGCCATCGATCTCCTGCTTCCCGAGTTGGAGCGTGGTCTTGCCGACGACAGCTACCGCATTCGTCTCAGTTCCGTCGAGCTGGTTGGAGATCTTCTCTTCAGTCTTACTGGTGTTACTGGAAAGGCTGAGGCCGATGAGGAGGAGGAGGAGGCCCAGCAGGCTGGTCAGTCTTTGCTCGAGGTCCTCGGAGAAGAGCGCAGAGACAAGGTTCTTTCGGCCCTGTTCATTTGCCGCTGCGATACCTCGGGTATGGTCAAGAGTGCCGCCATGGCCGTGTGGAAGGCTCTTGTCGCCTCTCCAAAAACCCTCAAGGATATGCTGCCGACTTTGGCTCAGCTTATCATTCGTCGCCTTGGATCCTCCAACATGGAGCAGAAGGTCATTGCCAGCAACGCCCTTGGCGACCTTATCAAGAAGGCTGGCGAGTCTGTACTCTCCACCTTGCTTCCCTTGCTCGAAGATGGTCTGCAAACCTCGCCCGATGTGGATGTCAAGCAGGGTATCTGTATCGCCCTGCGTGAGCTCATCACATCTGCCACTCCAGAGGGTCTGGAGGACTACGAGAAGGTTCTTATCTCTACTGTCCGCGTCGCTCTGGTCGATCACGACGAGGATGTACGGGAGGCTGCTGCCGAAGCCTTCGACGCCCTGCAACAGATTCTGGGCAAGAGGGCTGTCGACCAGGTTCTGCCTTACCTCCTCCACCTGCTCCGTAACGACGAAGATGCCGAGCAAGCACTGTCTGCCCTCTTGACTCTTCTGACAGAGCAGACCCGTGCCAACATCATCCTCCCCAACCTCATTCCTACTCTCCTGACGCCACCCATCTCCGCTTTCAACGCCAGAGCCCTAGCGTCCCTGGCCGAGGTTGCTGGTACCGCCATGACAAGAAGATTGCCAAGTATCCTAAACTCTCTTATGGACGGTATCATCGAGACCACCGACGACGAGCTTCGATCGGAGCTCGAGAATGCTTTCGATACTGTGTTGGTCTCTGTGGATGAGTTCGATGGTCTTAATGTGGCCATGAACGTAATGATTACCCTCATGAAGCATGACGACCACCACCGCCGAGCCAAGGCTGCTCTTCACCTCGCCAAGTTCTTCTCGGAAGCGGATCTCGACTTCTCCCGTTACTACCAGGATCTTATTCGTATCCTCCTTGTTTCGTTCGACGACTCAGACAAGGAGGTTGTCAAGGCAGCGTGGACCGCTCTCAGTGGTCTCACTTCCAGCATGCGCAAGGAAGAAATGGAAGTACTGGTCATCCCCACCCGCCAGATGCTCAAGCAGGTCGGCCACCCTGGGGCAGACTTGCCTGGCTTCAGTCTGCCAAAGGGTATTATGGCTATCTTGCCTATTTTCCTGCAAGGTCTTCTCAACGGAAGTGTCGACCAGCGTACTCAATCTGCTCTCGCCATGTCTGATATCATTGATCGCACGGGCTCGAACTCTCTCAAACCTTTCGTTACCCAGATCACTGGTCCTCTTATTCGTGTCGTATCTGAGCGTTCGGTTGACATCAAGTGTAAGTTCCAAAGGCCCCACCGAATACTAAGAAAATACTAATTACGAATCTAGGTGCCATTTTCTACACCCTCAACAAGCTCTTGGAGAAGATTCCATTGGCTGTCAAGCCTTTCTTGCCTCAGCTCCAGCGTACCTTTGCCCGTGGTCTGGCGGACACTTCCAGCGAGACCCTGCGTAACCGTGCCGCGAAGGGTCTTGGTATCCTGATCACACTGACCCCTAGGGTTGACCCGCTTATTGCCGAGCTTATTGCCGGTTCAAAGACCCCTGATCTCGGTGTGAAGAATGCCATGATGAAGGCTCTTCAAGAGGTGGTTGGCAAGGCAGGTGCTAGCATGAGCGAGGCATCTCGGACTTCCATTCTCGGACTCATCGATGATGACTCTAGCGACCAGAACGGTGAGTTCAATCTCAGTCAAAGTACTTCCATTTTGCAGACCACTAATATTCATTTGCAGACTCTGTTGCCATTACCAACGCGCGACTGCTCGGCTTACTCGTCAAGGTCCTTCCGGCCGCAGCTGCAGTCCCTGTCATCAAGTACGTCCATCTCAGATAATCACTCTTTTGCGACATTTACTTACAATGCATAACAGGAACCGCATTCTCAGCGGCCAGCTCTCGCACGCCTCTGTTCTTGGTCTGAACGCTCTTTTGGCAGAGTCGCCCGATACCATGATTGAACACTTCCCCGAAGAGACACCCTCGGTCATCTGCCAAGGAATTGCACACAAGGATGTGAGTATCTAATCAGCCCTATCATTCATTACGATTATTGCGCCATCAGGCTAATTATCCATAGCCTTTCATTTCTGACAACAGCGTTCTCGCTGCGGGTAAATTCCTTCTTACGGAAGATGGAAACCACAGCTTTGAGACACATAAGACTATCTTTGAGGCTCTGGCACCCGTTATCCAGCCCGGCAGCCCATCCGATACCCGTCGTTTGACGCTGGTTGTTGTCCGGACTGTGAGCCGCCTCCACCCCGAGCTGACCCGCCCTCACCTGGCCCTTCTCGCGCCCCCGATCTTTGCCAGCGTACGTGACCTGGTCATTCCCGTGAAGCTTGCCGCGGAAGCTGCTTTCCTGTCTATCTTCTCTGTTGTAGATGATGATAGCGAGGTCTTCGACAAGTACATGGCCGGCCCTGGTGCTTCGCTGCCTCCTGGACCGAAGCGCAGCATGGCGGAGTACTTCAAGCGCATTGGTATGCGCCTTGCCAGCCAAGCGCGTGAGCGCCGCGCCGCTGAAGGTGGAGTGGGTGGACTGGGTCTGTCGAATGATGAAGTGGATGATGAGAAGGAATTGTGGAGTATTGGCAAGGTGGACCTGGGGGTGGATGGATTTGAGGATGATTGATTGATGATCGATTGAGCATCTCGAGGTTGCATCTACGTGTCTTTACTATAGATATACCCTTGGGCCTACATATTTTCTTTTTCTTATCGTACAAAAGTTTCAAGAGTTTATGACAAGTTGATGAATTGATTGTTCGTGAGTAGGTGATAGAAGCTTGGTCAAGGTTGGCATTACTGTTAGATAGATAAATAGTAGGAGCGTTATTTGGTCCGCATGATATCCATTGAGTGGGTTTCTTTCTTTTGGTCATCATGGCATGGTCAGGTATATTACGGAGCTCTCGGCATGGAGTACTAACTACTAGTACTCTGTATGTACTTCGCTTTCCCAAAAGGGTCACATTTGGTATCATGTGATCTTGGCAGCTTTCTCTAGTCACGTGCCGGTTAGATTAGATACCAGCATCGTGAATACCTTAAGGTAGCACTTCGATGATTAAACCAAGGAGGACACATAAAGTACAAAGCTCTATATTTCTACTAGCCTCAATACATGCAATTCATCATCACCGGTCTCTCCATTCCCTAGTAAAACATTTAAGTATGGCCATCTTGAAAGGGATTACCCGATCGGGGGCTCTAGGGCTAGGGGTGCAGCCCTAATGTGGATTTCGCTTACGGCAGATTAGCTAATCCGATTGTGCCCCAAACTCCTCACCGTCTCAGACGTGCAATTCGAGTGCTACGAACATCATCCGCCAAAAGACCGTCGATACGCCGACATCAAGATGTGAGTGCCACCTCCTACGGTCATTTCCAGAGACCTCTCGACCTTTGATTTCATCATCCCCTCGTCCTCGTCAAAACCAACACCCCGCGGTGGAAGAATGGAAACGATCCGTGATATTGTGTGTGTGCAAAGACTGACCTCGACTTTTTCTTCCTATCCAGGGTCAACCTTCGCACCCAGAAGCGCCTCGCCGCCTCCGTGGTCGGCTGCGGCAAGCGCAAGATTTGGCTCGACCCCAATGAGATGACCGAGATCTCCAACGCCAACTCCCGCCAGACCGTCCGCAAGCTCGTCAGCGATGGCCTCATCATCCGCAAGCCCGTCACCATGCACTCCCGCTCCCGCGCCCGTGAGCTGAACGAGGCCCGCCGCATCGGTCGTCACCGCGGTCTGGGTAAGCGTAAGGGTACCAAGGACGCCCGTATGCCCAGGTATGCAACAACTTCTCGAATCCGTGTTGCTCCCCGGGTCCCCCCTCCACCTCTTCGCATAGAGGGGGAAGACAACCCCGGTGGACAATACATCTTGGGATCACCGGTTGCTAACATATTTCGCTCCTCTCCAGCCAAGTCCTCTGGATGCGCCGCATGCGTGTTCTCCGTCGTCTCCTCGTCCGTTACCGTGCCGCTGGCAAGATCGACAAGCACCTGTACCACGAGCTTTACCACCTGAGCAAGGGTAACACCTTCAAGCACAAGCGTGCCCTCGTCGAGCACGTAAGTCATCCCGCATGAATACCGTTCCCCGCCACCAACCCACATATTCCCCATCTCCCCCCACCGGGAATACCGACACCCCCATCGTTCCACACCACAATAAAGAAACAAGACTGACTCGCTCTCTTTTCCCCCGCTACAGATCCAGAAGGCTAAGGCTGAGCGCGCCCGCGAGCGTGTCCTCAAGGAGGAGATGGACGCCAAGCGTGCTAAGAACAAGGCTCTCCGTGAGCGCCGTGCCGAGCGCGTTGAGGCCAAGCGCAACGCCCTGGCTGCTGAGGAGTAAATTTTCACCCAATCAACAAAAAATCTTTTGCGAATTGTTTGAAAAAGGCCTTCTTGTTCGGCTCAAGGGAGAAAAAGAGGGTTGTTGTGCTTTGAAAAAAAAGCGGTTATTCGAATCTTCTGGGGGTTTTCTTCATTATTTTCCGGGATTAAGGCAAAAACGGCGAGCTCTAGCTGTTTTTTTTCTTTTCTTACTTCTCTCACACCCCCCACACCTCACCCACACTACCCAAATCGAAATGAATCCATGGAAATTCCTACTAAGGTCGGGCAACGCCGCTTTTTTTTTAATTCTACAACGAACTTGTTCCTCTCGCCGGGCTGTGCTGTGCTGTGCTGCTTCAGTGTCGGGGTCGGCGGGGGAGATGCGATGATGACGTGATACTCAAACCAACCCTTTTCTATCTTGTTGATAAGGAGAAGGCGAAAGGAAATTCTTTTCTCAAAAACAAAAAAACACTAAAAAAATATTTCCTTTGTTTCATTGTAGCTTTTGATCAGTGGCCTGTCCCAGACCAACCCTGCGATCATACCTCTAGATTCCGTAAAGGAGATGGTAGATTTCACCTACCATCTGGGCACTGCGTAAACTTGAGGATGTTCTTGGTCTGGGGTAATCTGATCTCGCATAAAATTGGGCCAACGCTGATCAGCTACATTCATGGATGGTAGGACCGCTCTAGCTGTCATCCTGAACCCCTGGAGGATTAGAAGCTAGGTAAAATTACAAAGGTATTATCTATTCAGGTGGATCTCTCACGCATATAATTCTCGAGTTCTACTCCAAATCCACGTGAAGCCCTTTGGAAGCCGTTCCTCGATACACCTGGGCATTATACTAGCTACTAAGGGGCTCCCGGGTCCGAGGGCTATAAAGGTTCTCTGCCAGGTATCTAGTAATATTAGGATTCGAGTTCAAGTTGGAAGTCATCCTCCATGGATGATGCTGTGTAGAACTAGAACTACAACTAGTACTAATACCTAGGTAGTAGTATGAAGTATTACCTTGATTCGGATACCTAGGTATATATATCTCCATGATTTCGACCGATGGTCTCGAGCCTGAGGCGTATTGAAGTTTCAAATCGGGCTCCCTCCAGTAACATCCATGGATGCCCGTCATTACCAGCCGGTTTGAAACCGAACGAAACACTTGCGAACTTGAAGTGATCAAACATACGAGACGTCTCCATAAAGATCTTGGCCGAGTGATAGATCATCAAGCTAGTGATGTCACACACAACCTAAAATCGAGTGTGAAAGCACGGACCTTTTTGTTTTGACAACAACACTACACAAGCGTGCCTAGTAATTGAGATAACCCTTGCAAGGAAAAAGATCACTAGATTCTAGAATTCTTCTGGGCTGTGTATGGATGGCTCCAAGGTTTGCAGGGGTGAAAGTGAAGTTGGGTCACTTTCGGCCAGCCACAACCGATCTCTACTTTCCCAGGAATGCAGGCAAGTGCGCCATGGCGCAGTAAAAATACTAGTTCCGAGTTAATAGGTGTTACTGTTAGTTCCGATAATGTAAATTTTCAAAATGAGAATTAAATTGTGCAATCCTAGTACACAAAATCGCATCCTGTATCTTTGACTCCGAGTAAGATGTGTAAACATCAAATGCTGGACCCGCTATGATGCATCGCTCTCAAAAGAGGGGGCATTGCAGAAAGAATATGTCAAAGATTGACAATCGTAAAAAACAGAGCGCGAAAAAGGGGTATTTGGAAAAAAAAATTGCTTGAGACCGCCGCCGCCGAGTTGAACAGGAAAAGGAAAGAGATTGAAAGGTAGAGGGGTGGCAGATAAGACTCATGAGCAAGGCCATGTGATTATCAGGCAAGGTGTGAAAACAGGGAATGTTTAAAGTAGACGTGCAAGCAATTGATGGGATTGCGTATCACACAGCTGCTCGTAAAGAGTAGGCAAGACATGACATGTATGGCTAGTACCGTCCACCCGATGCTGAAGTCGGAAATTCGGTTGGTGGGAGCGAAATCTGAGAAGTAGGATCCACGCCTTTCGAGGCTACACTTGGTGGGAATTCCAGATCGAACGGATTGCTGCGGATGCTCGCGCGCCTCTTGGGTGTAGCGAGGTGCTTCGGCTTGGAAGTGGGGGTTTCATAACCCTGTGCAGAGAGCGTTTCCGTGCTCCCACCGCCGGGTGCCGTTCCAACACATGACCAGGCAAGGGCTGACTCGAAGCTTTGGGGAGAGTTGACAGTGGCAGTCCTTCCACCCAGGGTTTCATGGGCGAGATTTTTGATAGAGCTTCTGGCCGACTTGGACGCCTGATCGGGGATAGCTGCCGTACTTGCCCCGTGATGATAGGTAGTATTTCCACCCGGGGTGGTAAACTCGCCATTGTGATAGAATTCGAGCGACTCCAGCCTGTCTTCCCACGACTGGCGTGAATAAATCGACGCGCTGCGTGATGGGGGTGAAACCTCAATCTTAGGCTTCCCGTTCCACCAAGCCCAGGGTCCCTCGATAGAGTGCCGATGACTTCCATACGGGATGTTTTCATCTAGCGCGAGCTTTCGGTTTGCAGCAGAAAGCCCATAGTTGGGCCTAGTGGCCGTGTTTGAGTGGTTCTGCGCAGGAGGAAAGTGATCCGAGGGTGTAGTAGCAGATGCATGGTCCACTGGCCAGGAAGATTGGCGATTATGGCCGTCAAGGAAGGCATGGGCGGAATTGTCCGAGTCACTTCGCAGCAGTGCCTGTCGACTGTGTAGGCGTCGGTGCAGGATATTTCGTCGTCTTCGTCGAACGAAAAAAAATGCATGCCAATAGGGCCAGAAGTATGAATGCCATTCCTCCCACGACAGAGCCGACGATCGTACCCACTGTGTGTGATGTCTTTCTGTAGATTTCGTCCGAAGACGAGCCAGATTGAACTCCCACGAGAGGGGATGAAGTTGTGATCGTGTGGAAAGATGACACCGGGACTGTAGAGGAGGCCTGTGTGATAGACATGGGAAGTCCCGAGTCACTGCGAGCCATCGAGATTTGCGACAGCGAATGAGTTGCCATTGCTGTGCCGGCAATTTGTGAGGTTTGCGAGATAGAGGTTGGTGCAAGGGAGACCAGTGTGATCGCAGTCCCTTCACTTGGATGGGTATTGGGACTGAGATGAGTATTGGGCCATTCACTTGGATGAGTATTGAGACCTGTGGATCCCACGAGTGGTGTCTCCAACTGTGACAGGGACTCTGAATTGGTGGAGGATGTCGTAGCACTAGTAGTCCACGACGGAGCCGAGGAGGTGGTAAGAGTGAGAGGCGAGGTTTGAAACGTAGTACCCAGTATGCTCTCCAGTTTGGTCTCGGACTGGGTGCTCTCTGACCAGGGTGTCTCTGGGAAATGAGACTGTGGGAGAGTGGTGAATGTGACCGTTACCGATTGAACCGTCTCCAAGTTCGTGGTCGTGACCAGGTGAGAGATCACGAACTGTGTAACGGGATCATCAGATACGGTGGTCTGTTCGGTGTAAGTCAAGAACGGATGGATAGTCTCTGTTAATGTCGAGGTAAAGACGACCAAGCTTGATGCCAAGTCCATCGAGGTGCCCAGCTGGGTTCCAGTGAATCCCGAGATGGAAGGGGTTGGTTGAAGTGAAAATTCATTCACCATCTCGAGATAGCCCTCGTAGGCTTGGGTGGTATAGAGAATCACAATGAGAATCGAGTTTGGGATGATATCAAAGACGTGTTGAAAGGTGGTGTGTAGAAGACAAAGGTATAGAGGTGAAGTCAAGAAAGTCAAGGAAGTGTGTATTGGGGGAAACCAAGGAAACAAAGGGCACAAAGGGCACAAAAGGGAAGGAGCCAGCTCTGTAGTCAACAAGGCAGGAACCCCCACACTTTCTTGTTTCTACCAGTTCCCAAGGCTTGGTCTACCACGAGAATCATACTCACGATTCACCACCAGAAACTAGAACTTGAACAGGTTTACTTCGAGATGTAGAAGGGGCCAAAAAAGAATTCTAAAAAGTTACCAGGGATGCCTGATACTTTATACGCAGCCGGGGTCATGGGAACTCAGGGTATCATTCAGTATGAATTAGTATCATCTATTGTTTCAAGTCGGACCGTTGGCGCTTCCCCGTGTGTGAGGGTAGGCAGCGCTTAATAGAGTGTTGAGGGCCTGGACCAATGAGAAGGCAGCATCCCAGGCACAATGGATGATCCAGACCCGCGCTCGTGTGAAAATGTGATAGTCTGCAGAAGGTGTCTGTTTCTGCTTGTTTCTGTGTCGATCGAATAATTGGGCGAAACAGAAAGGGAGGGTTTGAGGCATTGTGAAATGGACTGGTCCAACCAGGGCGTTTCAGCTGGGGGTTAGACCTAGGGAGTTAGACCTGGGGAGTTAGACCCGGGAGCTGGATGAATGTGAGGAGTCAAAAAGGAGATGAAGAGAAGCCAATGAGTGTACGGAGTGTACGGATTGTATCTGTAAGTGATAGGGGTGGATGACTGATGATGATGACTGATCTTGTGTGTGTATGGAAGGTGCACTGGGGGAAGTAGAGTCGCACCTGCCCAAAGTACCCAAGTTGACCACACTTGAGTACTGACAGGCGAACACCTCCCAAGTTCTCCCCTCCAAACAATCCTCCACTCCACTTCCACCATCCACCGCCTCACCCCTCAACTCCCTCTTCTAGAGCATGTGAGCGTATTTGTATGCACACCTTGCACTTTATTTAACCATGTTCGGCTGGGGCCCTGGCTTGGGTAAGTGGCGGTCCTTGTCCCTGTCCCTTTTCCCGTCCCCGTACCTGTGAATGTACCCATACCGCCTGTACCTCCCCCTGCTGCTTGCTGAAGCAATGCAGGTGCGAGCCCCAATCTGTGCATTTACACACCTATATTACAGTGCAATATTATCTCTATCTTTTTATTCTCCTGGCTAACATCTCTCTCCCCCGCACAGCCCTACCTTCCACCTCCTCGGAGCCCGAGAAAGAACGCAAGCCTCCCGCCGACGCAACCCCGCTTGACTTCCCCGTATACAACCTTCCCGACCCCGTATGCGAAGAACAATGCTCTCTCCAAGAACTCTTCGGCCTGTTGGCCTCCATCAAACGCCCCCAAGATATCTCTCTCGACAGGTTTAAGCCCTTGAACCTGCAACTCCAGACCGATGTCGATGTGAAGCAAATGTTCCCCGAAGACCAGGCTCGGTCTCTTGCTCCGCTGCCCTGGGAAAACCAGCCGGAGATCCTGCCTGGTGGTGAAGCACCCACACGGCCAGACATGAGCAATGGCCTCCCTTATCCTCCCAAAGAACGCTTCGAAACCCTTCAGAGCGAATTGATGCTGGACAATGATGATACATTCCGCGAGATGGCCCGACTGCCCGCACGTGAGGGCCGCCCACGAGTTCGCATCACCCAGACCAGGAAGTTTTGGACGGGATTGGAGCGAATGGCTCAGTACTGGGACACCAGTCTTGACCAATACTTTGAACGTCCTGCTTCGCCATCGTCGCCACCATCCGATGCCGAATCCAAGGAGGATAAGATGCAGACTGACAATGCCGCCGACTCAACGGATTCAGCGATGGATGTGGACAAATCGGAGGTGGATGCCAATGGAGTGTCTCACCCGACCGTGAAGATGTATACTGGCCGCCGTATTGGATCCGGCACGGAGATGCCCGACGACGTGCGGGAGGAGGCCATTCGAGCCTTTGTAGAGATGGCGGCTTGGCCCTTTGGGTGCCAGGTCTGTGTGCCGACGCTGCCGCCGCGATTGACGGTCAAGAGCTTGCTCTTCCCGGTGCGGCAGTCCTTCCAGGCCGCTCGATCCCCACGAGACCGCCAAATCGCCCGCAGCGGCATTCTGGAGGGACCCCTCCTCATCGCCCAGTGTCGCCCGGAGACTACTTTCCGGGCCATGGGCGATGAGTCGGGCTCAGGAATCGGAGAGGTCTGCGATCTGTTCCGTGAGGTCGGTGGGATGCTACTGGCGGCCCAGGAACGGGCTCGCCAGGGAGAAATTGAGATGCGCCCCGGAGAAGGGAAATGGTGGACAACCACCCCACGTTTTGGCGGTGCGCCTAATGACGGGATCTTGGAAGATCTCGTCAAGGGACAGGGATTGGGGTTGCACGGGATGCCCTTGCCCGAGGAAATGCTCGAAGAAAGCAAGCCCACGCCCCCAGCACCTGTCCCCGATGTCGAGAGCGCTCGCAAACGCCACAAGTTCGAGCACCCATTCGTGACCTCCTTGTCACGTCGCCCCAGTGCAATGCGAAAGCTCTCCAGTGGTGAGAAGTGGCAGATTCTGCAACCCGGAGTCAGTCTGTGGGATAAGCGCATGCGATACCAACAGATTGGAAAGGCTCCGGACAGTGCTTATGATGATGTACGTTCCAGTAGTCCCCTAAATTACCATCCATTCACTAACATGTTCGCACTAGATCTACATGGTTTCGTCAATCAACCACCACATCTCCATCCTGCACCTCCGAGTCCACAGACGGTACCTAGAGATCCTCACGTTCGGCAAGAGTGACATCCCCGCCGACACTGCCGACGCAGACCACCCCTGGCACGTTCTGAAGCTCCAACGCAGCAAGTGGTACGACCTCTTTGATGCCAACGACCGCGTGGAGGGACTGAAGTGTGTCTGGGCTCTTTTCCACTACCAGTCCAGAAAGATTTAGCGGATCATTTGAGAAGACTTTCACGGTTTCATTTTTCTTATCCTTCTAAGCGGCCCTGCGCAGCTGTTTTTCATACACATATTTCCCCCCTCTCAGACGCGGCGCATCATGTACATAGAGAAAGCGAAAAGACTCGTGACGCTTTGATTTCAAATAGCCGGGCCAGTGTGAGCTGGTGACTCTCCGGTTGTACTTCGTGTATGTCGCTTTTGAGGTCGATGATGCCGTTGTACATAGATCAAATTCTTGACTCCAACTTCCTCCGCACGGTCTTGTTGACTGCCAGTGCGTATTTTAAGCTTTCTTAGAACGAACTGCGGCAATGATGAGGTTGCTTTTCGTAGTGTCGACTGTGGCAGTTTGTCATCCATTTGATAGTTATGTCTCTCTCTCTTGAACAAGTCTAGTTCCAGACAAATCAGGTCCTCTGCTGAGCATCCTGTTATAACCAAGACCATTCGGAAGAAAAACGAAAGAACTTCAAGTTCGAGTCTTGGCAGGAATCTCTAAAAAATTATGCAGTTATTTGAAGGGTGCTGGTACTTATCAGTTGGCTTTGCGGGCAGAGGAGTCAACTGGCGAGGACCATGACTTGATAGTAGGACTTGTAGTATACCCCCGATCTTGGAATGCTCGTTTCTATGGTCCTTCACCCTCTTTCCTCTGAATGGATTGCTAGCGGAAATGGCGTTCATGGCTCACTGTTTCAAAAAGAATAAAGATGAAAGCGTGTACTGTCAACGATTCAGGTATACGATCCCGTTCTGCTATTCTTTTGGAAAGGCCGAGACCCGGACATGCTTCATCAGAGCCGGGAATTGACTAGCCCCGACAAGCCGTGAATTTGTCACGCAGAATCAAATGGAGAAAGATATTCCCCACCGAGTAACTGAGGATTGACAACAGGAGACCTCGACTCCCGGAAAGACATGGCTATGGATGGCCTTGGCTATCGGAAATACTACTTCCGAGGTCGTTGACAGTCCTAGGTCTGCAATGCTTTTTCATGTATATGTGGAATCTACCTATGTAGTGAGAGCTCCGATTGGAAACGATGAATAAGACAGTTGAGCGTTATCCATTAAAGAAAGACATCATCGGGAAGTAAACAACTGTGTTTGCCTGACGGCGATTCCCAGATAGTAAATTAATTCCAGTCCGGGATGTCGGGCCAAACCGTCAAGACCACATCCTACTCGATATATGACTATAATTTCTCGGACTTATTTAATCTATTATCACCGTGATAATTACTAGTAGTGCCTACATAGACAAAGATGATCCTTCAGCAAACCGTGGAAGGTGATAGGGTCTCACTCCCGGTGGAGCTGAGAAGTTCGTTCTACGCTATCTTTTTGCAAAAGTCAGTACTAGCCCGCGAGGTAGTTAAATAATGCCGCGGCTATCTGAATAGAATATCCACAGTCCTATGCTGTCTTAGTCTGAACTTTGATCAAAGGATCTGATTTGATCGAATATCGATAAAATGCACTCCGCCCTACCACGCCCTACCGCGCCCTACGCTCCATACCCGTTCGGTTGTATCCGATATGGCATGCTTCAGTACGGACTCGGAGTACTTTGAACTGCACCAGCACCCCGCATTGATTTTGCTTTTCCCCAGTAGGGAAAGTGCTTATCGACGATCATCACACTGACATACCAGGATTTCTCGAGTCCTAGGTTTAAGATTAGAAGTGCAGAATCCCATTTCTGTACTATCTAAGGGACTCGAATCAAGTTTGCTACAAATTGTTTAGACTGTTCAAAGTTATTATGATTTCCATAGTACTCTATTGTGTTATATGTTCTTGATCTCAACATTCGACGTATTTACTATAGAATAAAGCAATACCTGTCTAGCCCAATACTGCATATGCCAAGTAATAAATCACAAACTCGAGAAGGATGCCCGGAGTGCATGCAGCCCCCATGGATTATCACGTCGTAGTGCGCAAATGCGTTTCCCCCCAAAAAACACACACTGGATTAACAATGTCTTAACCAAGTACCCAACCTTTATCCAGTGCTGAAGAATAGTCAGTCTTGACTACGAATTACCCATCCAGGCATTTTCCCCTTCAAAAACCCCGGCCAACGTCCGAGACGGGTGTCATAATTAGAAAACTGGTTTGGAGTGAGAGGCTTGACGCCCCTTGAACGCCAAGCAAGCCTCCCCAAGATTGAAAATTACAAGTTTCTGATGGACCCACGCGGAAAATGTAACGTCGAGCCTGCGAAATGGAGCTTAAAGGTTTAAGCTAAAGCCAACATATTCGAGCCAAGACTGGTAAGATAATCTGATCATCTGATAAGGGTCCACGGCCCGAATTGTGGTGGAGAAAAACCCTGACTTTGGTTGACACAAGGGGGCTGTGCTGTAAATTTGGTTCATGTAATACGATTCTTGGTTGACTGTACTAGTATCCGATGAGCTTGGTCCACCTGGAGTGGGCATCGAGTGTTAGTGTCGACTTAGGTACCTAATAGCTGAATGGCGACAACGATGCAAGGGTAAATCCCATGCCGGAAAGAATAGAGAAAGTGCCCATTTTTCGTTTCTTATTCGAGTCTGTTCTTTTTTTTTTTTCTCCCTCAAGTGTAAGCCCATGCATTGATCTCTGTGACATCCGAGTCCAGAATAATTTGCAACCATCGGAGACACTTCAGTCTCTACATAGGAAGATGGGGATCGGAGGACGAGTGAAAGCAGAGGTACGAACGAGTTCACTCCAATTCACTGGATCTTCTAGAAATTGACTGACACTGCAATAGCGCGAGCGAGTGATCAATTTCTTCCCCAAGAGAAAAGACTTGAAAACAGCCTTCAAATTCGTCCGCCTGCTCTTCTCGCTGAATTATACCCGCATCGACGTCCTCCTCATCACAGTCGGAACTTTCTTCGCCATCGCCGCAGGTGTACCGGAACCACTCCTCGGCGTGGTATTGGGCCAACTGATCAACGAACTCAACGAAGTCGCCTGCTCAACAACAGTCTACGACCCATCCTCCGTCCGCAAAAAGGTCCTGTACTTGATCTACATCACCATTTTCAACTTCGCAGCCATCTACATCTACGCATCATGCTGGGCCCTCGTCAGCGAACGACTAGTCCGTCGCTACCGAAAGTCATACTTCCGCAGCTTGATCCGTCAGGAGGCGGCCTTTCACGACAATCTGCCCTCCGGCCAAGTCATTTCGCGACTGGTGAGTGACATCGAGACACTGCAATCGGGCACTTCTGAAAAAGTCGGCATCTACATTGCTACAATCTCATACTTTGTCACCGCATACGTCGTGGCCTTTATCAAGGTACCCGTGATTGCGGGCATATTGATCGCGGCGATCCCGTGTTTCTTCGCGATGGCTATGATCGGGGGTCATCTTGCGTCGCGGTATGGGGCGCGCGTGGGGAAGAATGTTGATATGGCTACTTCGATCGCGTCGTCTAGTTTGTCGCACATGAAGATTGTGCATGCGTTTAATGCGCAGCGACGGCTTGAAGATCTATTTTCTTCGCATTTGTCTGAGTCGCGGAGGGATGCTTTGAAGAAAGCGGCTGTGCATGCGGCGCAGATGGGGACGCTTTTCTTTATTGTTTATTCGTCGAATGCGCTGGCGTATTGGAAAGGTGCGCATTTGATTGCTGATTCGATTGATGGGTTGAATGATGGGGTTTCTGTTGGCGCTGTGTATACTGTGATCTTTATTTTGATTGATGGTGAGTTCAAGATTTACGGACCCTGGGATATCGTGAGATGGTGATTGGAGTCACGGTTTGTCTTGCCATACTGAAACATTAACTGACTGACTTTGCGAATAGCGACTTTCATCTTCAGCCAGGTATCTCCTTATATGCATGTCTTCAGTGCGGCTACGAGTGCGTCCGGTCGTTTGTTAGATGTGATTAACCGTGGCTCAAATATCGATGGGACATCAACTGCTGGCGAGCGCAGTGCAAATCTCGAGGACCATGATATCACTTTCAAAGAAGTTCATTTTACCTACCCGTCACGGCCGGAAATACCGATTGTGCAAGGATTGAGCTTCTCGATTCCTGCAAAGCAGCATACCGCTATCGTCGGGCCTTCTGGCGGTGGAAAGTCGACCATCGTAGCTCTTCTAGAACGCTTCTACGATCCGCTCGAGGGCAGTGTCTGTATCGGTGAGCAAGATATTCGACAAGTCAACGTGGCCAACTTGAGAGGCCAGATGGGATTCGTGCAGCAGGAGTCGCAACTTTTGGATCGCTCGATTCTGGAGAATATTGCCTATGGCCTGGTAGGCTCTGTTGGGCATGAGCATCTCGCCGAAGTCATTTTGAACATGAGCCTGACTGATTTCGTCAACAAGGTTCAATCTGGATGCACTGAAGAGCAGGCTCTCGCTGACTGCGATTCTAGAATTGCCGAAGTCGTTCGGTTGGCGAGGGGCGCGGCGGAAAGAGCCAATGCACTTGATTTCATCCAGGCCTTGGAGTTTGGAATCTCTAGCCAGGTCGGCACATCGGGTGGGAAGCTTAGTGGTGGCCAGAGACAGCGAGTTGCTTTGGCGAGTGCTCTTGTTCGCGAGCCTAAGGTGCTTATTCTGGATGAGGCGACTGCTGCATTGGATTCAATGAGTGAGAAGTTGATCCAGGCTGCTTTGGCGAAACTATCTGGAGCTGTTACGATTGTTTCTATTGCGCATCGTCTCGCTACTGTTAAGGATGCAGACCAAATTGTTGTCATACAGAAAGGTCGATTAGTAGAAAGAGGGCCTCCTCGCGTGCTGCTAGAGAGTGACAGCGCTTATGCGGCCATGGTCGGTCAACAAAGGGTGGAAAATGAGGATATCGGCTTGTCAAGATCTACCTCTGTGAGCAGAGAATATGATCCAGCTTCCGAAGATCCAATACGGATGTTATCGAAAGAGACGACCTTGGAGAAGAATCAGCCCGCTTCCCTGGATGACGAGAAGGAGCCGGCTGAGGCTGAGACGGAGAAAGACACCGTCGATTCGAAAGCAGAGAAATCCTCGCGTATATCGAAATGTCTGTCTACAAAGACTTGCTTTGCATTCATTCGACCCAACCTCCTTTTGATCGTGATTGGTCTATTCATGTCGGTGATAATTGGGGCTAGTTATAGCTCAAACGCGATTTTGTTCGGAAATACCGTCGGAGGGCTCAGTCCGTGCAAGGGTACAGCAAACATTCGGCACAGCGGAAATCTCTTCGGCCTTATGTTCTTCATTGTGGGAGTTGTTGAGCTCTTCGCGAATCTCATTGGTGGTTGTGCATATGGCTGGGCTGCGGATCAAATACTATATCGAACCCGAGTAGCTTCACTCCGATCACTCCTCAGTCAAACGATAACGTGGCATACTTCCGAGGGAAGAAGCCCCGGAGCCCTGGTTGCCTTGATTACCGGCGATGCATCGGCATTGAGTGGGATCACTGGGACCACAATCGGCCTTCTTCTTGCGACTGCCGTCAATCTTTTTGCAGGTATCATCATCTCATTCGTGGTCGCGTGGAAAATATCAATCGTCCTTGTACCGACTATTCCTATCCTCCTCGTGGCCGGAGTGATGAAACTGCGAACGCAAAGCCAGTTTGCGGAACGACACAAGAAAGCCTTCTCAAAGGCTACGGAGATCACCGTTGAAGCCCTGGGAAATCTACGCTTTGTTGCAGGATTTTCACTGGAGCAGCAGCTCTACAAAGAGTTCCTCTTGTCAATGCACAAGCCTCACCAGGACACGACTAAAGCGATTGCTTGGGGTAATTTTTGGTTGGCCTCCGCGTTCAGCGTGAGCAATCTCATCAGTGCACTTGCATACTGGTGGGGCTCCAAGCAGATCGCCTCAGGACTATACTCCCAAACTCAATTCTTTATCGTTTTGCCTGCTCTGCTGTTCAGTACGCAGTCTTGCGGGCAGATGCTTGCTCTCGCACCGGATCTTTCAAAAGCAGGCAAGGCTACATCTCGGATTGTTGAACTTGTCAACACAAATTCTGCCAAGGAAAGTCATGGCGACAGCCATGCTCTCACATCATCAAAGACAGGGATGGCTTTGATTTCAGACATCGAAGCAAACAAGTTTCCCGAAACGTCATCGACTGGTGCTAAGAATGATTATGCGGCAGTCAGCGCTGCGCTGTTCCAGGTAGACTTTTCCTACCCAAGCTCTCCAGATATACCGGCCCTGAAGAAGATGAGCATTACCTTCAAACCGGGTGGATTCTATGCCCTGGTTGGCCCCAGTGGGTCTGGAAAATCGACTATCTTCAGCATGATTGAAAGATTCTATTACCCTTCCTCCGGATCCATCTTCATCAACGACCAAGACATAACGCAAATCGCATCATCCGATTTCAGAGACGACATCGCCATTGTTCCCCAGGAGAACGTTCTATTCGAGGGAACCGTATCATTCAACATCGGCCTAGGCGCCAGACCAGGCTACAAACCCACACAAACCGAGATCGAAGAAGCATGCAAACTCGCCCAGATCCACGACGTAATAACATCATTGCCTGAACAATACCAAACGATCTGCACCCACGACGGGAAGCAATTTTCAGGCGGCCAGCGCCAGCGCCTATCAATTGCGAGGGCGTTAATCCGACGACCGGGCTTGTTGCTCCTTGATGAGTCTACGAGCGCCCTTGATGGCGAATCCGAGCAGAAAATTCAAGACGCGTTGGCTGGACTTGCTGGGAAGACTACTGTTATTGCTATTGCGCATCGGTTGAGGACTATTTATCGGGCTGATCAGATTTTCCTCATTCAGGATGGTTGTTGTGTTGATAAGGGGACTCATGCTCAGCTTGTTGAGCGGAGCGAGATGTATCGTGAGGCTGTGGTTCATCAGTCGCTTGATAATTAAGTTAAGTGAAGCTTATACCGATTGCCTGCAGACTGTTAGAGGGTTTTCTGTATTTACTGCATTTTTGAAAAAAAAAAGAATTTTGTCTTTTGTTAAGTGGAAATGCCTTGATTGGAATTGTATAGGTTGCTTGCCTGATTTCACCTCTAGAAGTTGGAAATAAAATCGATGTCTTTAGGAAGTATTTATGAAATATTCGTGGATGTTCTAACAATCGCAATGAAAATTATTGAGACCTACTTTATCAACTTGAAAGGATCATTATCCTTATAGACGAGATATTTAATGCATAAAGCTTCAATTTGAGCGAAGAGTTTCTCCTAGTATTAACATTATCAATAATAATATTATATGCACACAGAACTTTGAAACCATAATCTATGATTTTTAATCTGAACAGTCAAGTATCGGCGTATCATCCTCCACTGGCACACAGAGGGAGAGGGGAAACACATTTAGAAGACCGTTCCGGGAACCTGCTTTTTATCCACATTCACATTCTTCCAAATAGCGATACACGGAAAGCCCAGGGCAACGACCGCTGTGGTTGCAATGCAGCTATACTTCTGGCTATCACCCCAGGCATTATTAATGGCATTGCGGATTTCCGATCCAATCGGATACGCCATCTGAACAGGATAACCACCAATGTAGATATCCGCCCAGTCTGCTTTAGCACTTTCCGGCAAATTGGCAAGAAGTGTTTTCGGGAAAACATTTGTGTATACGGCAGATGCAAGTGTGGCGCCTGCTGCTCCACCGAGACTGGCAAAAAGGCCGAGAATCGAGAGCATCATGGGTACACCGTCGTGATCTGCGGCGCTCATGACTGCCATATCTTGTCCAATGACTAGAGTGCCGCCGGCAAAGGCGATGAAGATTTGACACATGACAACGTATCCGATGCCATCGTCCTGACCACGGAAGTGGACCATCAGGCCAGAGCCAAGGAGCATCAAAGGTAGACCGAAGAAAAGACACGCTTTCTTGAAGTGCTTTGTTTGTCTGATGTAAAGTCCGAACAGTGGCGCCCAGAAGCATGATCCGATGTTGTAGATCTGGTTCATGTAGCCCGAGTTGGAGACGCTGAGGTCATAGACAACCATAGCAAAGTTGACAAAGTAGCTATCCCAGGCCATGTAACCGAAATTCAAGAGAGTTGACAGGATACAGGCGCCAAGAACAGTTCGTTGCTTAAGAAGGTCGTACCGAATGAACTGCTTCCGGGCGAAGAATTTTTCCCATGCCGCAAAGACGAAGAGCAGGCAGAAGCCAATGACTAGCATGGCGATGAAAGATGCGGAGCTGTATTGGGCTCGACCATAAGCCGAAAGGCTAAAGGGGAGAAGAAGCAGAATAAAAGCTGCCATCAATAGGAGTCCGCCGATGACTGAAATTCAAATGTCAGTATCCAGGATATGGACGTATTGAGACAGGGCTCGGAAGACTTACCATCAAATTCATGGACATAATGCAAAAGAGACTGAGCCCAGGTTCGGTCGCTCTTGGTCTTCTGGTAAAGGCCCATCTTCTCGGCTTTGCGCTCGTAGAATTTGAAAACTACAGCGAGCGGCAAAAGAACGAATGGGAAGACGATGGCAAATATACCATATGCCCAGCGCCATGAAGTCATTTTTAATAAGGCTTGCGCCGCCAGCGGGCCCGTGAACGCCGTGCAGATGAAGGGTGTGCTCGAGAATGCAAATGCAAATGCTCGATTGCGGAGACCCGAGGTATCAGCAATGAAAACATCAAGGATGAGGTAGATTGCATTGTATCCAACATAGTAGAGAACGTATCCCGCGGCATATCCACTGGGTCCAGTGCAAGATGCCAGCACAATAATTCCCAGCAGGAACAGACAAGTGAAAACTACGAGAGCTTCGGCTCGTCCCCAGATATTCACGATTTTGGCGACGGGAAGTTTCACCACTCCTCCCACAACACTGCCAAGGATTGCCGAAGTCGGAATCTCAGGGGCGGTTTTGAAGTTGGCATATGCGTAGACGATCACGTTGCTTTGAATAGATGAATGGAAAGCGAGCATAAAGAAGCAGACCCATATCCTGGATGATAGAAACAAATGATTAGAAATTTGATGGCCGGACAATATCTCTGAATAGAGGAGGATTGAGTTGCAAGATTTGGTTTGCATACCAGGCGTAGACTGCCCACACGGCATTCTTATCCCAAGCAAGAACAACTGCTTCAGCCTTTTTGACACCAGCAGCATCATCAGATATGATCGAGTCCGTTTCCGTTCTTTCACGGTCTACTTTTGCGAGAACGCGCTGCGAGTGAAGCTCGTCGTCCTTTGGGATGGGTGTCGAGTCCGCAGGATTGGATGGTGGTTTTGCGCCATCCAGATGCGGACTGGATGAAGGATTATCCATCGTGGTAGAGGTAAGACAGATTATAGCTAAAATAAGGAAGCAGGAAATGATGGAATCCAGAGAGAGAAAAAGATCGTCCGATTTTTACGGACTTCTTGATAGTTATATTGGGTTCCTAGGGGCAGAGTATTCTACAATTACAATCTAACCAAAAATGTACTCATAGTCCGGCGAAATTCTTGACTCGCTCTGATCAAATTATGTGGGCCGAAGAATTACATTCACGACAATGGTAGGCGATTGGCCAAGAAGGATTTCTAGCGCCATTCAGCGTGCAAAGGAATCAAGTCAGGGTTGCCACCATGGGATTTTTCTTGAAAATAATGGCGTGACTCAGTGATTTCATCTCCGGTTGCAGTTACTCTATCTATTTTCTCCTTCTTTGCTCTAATGCTAATACGGCTAGGTGACTCGCTTGGCGGATATCAGGATCTTATCGATCAATTTGTGGCGCCTACCACGGCAGAAAATTAAATGGACCCAATAATACCCATGGATAAGCTTGTACTTGAGAAGTAAAATTCATTCCATTACTTTACTGGAGACGCAGAATACTCTTACTTGCCATCTAATCACGTAGTCAAAAAGGAGAATTGCACAGAATTTCACTTGAGTACCGAACCTTCTCTGAGAAGGCATCTTCTACTTCCTCTGGAGTCGCCTCGGGGATCTTCCAGCTATCAATTTTGCCAAGAATCATGTCTCAGAATCAAGAAAGAAAACACGGAGCTATTCGGCCTCCATGATCCGATGCTCCATGCTGGACCCTTGCTTTCAGGATTCCGAGTTTTGAAAATTACTAGATGTAATTTCATGAATCACAGTGGGTCCAAACGGGGAAACCCGAATTTAACTCAATTCATTCCCACGGGCTCGGCGCCAAGCCAAATCATCGATACTGGTATCAGGGTCCATAAGAGTATAGAGAAGAATCTAAGAGATCATCATTGCCAAACTATTCACTGTGTCGCAGTAGAGTCAAAGATATTTCTGTCAGAACAGGGTCTTCCCGTTTGGCTGGATCCAAGATGTCGTCCAAAACCAGTGAATGGAAGTGCTCTCTACAGCCATCAGCTCGATTGCCAGACGAAGGTCTTCCAGCGACGTTACTTCCTATTTCATCCGGTGAGACCGTGACCCAGCCTTTCTCATTTGAGGTTCTGAAGTCACTTGATGGTATCTGCTTTCAGACACTTGAGAAGCAAGATGGCCTCAAGTCTTTGATCAATGCCTACTCGCGTTGGATCATGGAAGTGACTGCGCAAGAGCGTGTTGCATTTTTAGTAACCGAACGAGATCATGATCTGGCTTCCAGGTGTGCAGTTGTATCATCAAGCCGCCTCCCTGGAGATGAGATGTTAGAGTGGGAGGCGTATGAGGCCTCTTTGGAAAGCCCTACTGGGGAGCTTGAGACCTTGGAGTTTGCATTATGCCTGAGATGCGAAGCCGGAATCGAAGAATCTCTGAAAATTTTGGTAAGATAAGACTGGAATATTACTTGTTGGCCTATGGTGGCCTCATGGCGAGCAACCGGCTAACTCCTTGCAGGTCCGAGTGGCGTTGTGTATAGATCTGCAATCATCGACAGCCATTTTCGCGCACCGAGTCGACTCAAAAAATGATGGCTATTTATCGAACCTCGGGCAAAGGCTAAATACGATTCTAAAATACGAAAAGGACCCGAGTGAGAGAATGGACTTTTGGGAAAGAGAGTTAAAGGGGTTTGCCGGCCTCGGTGATATTCAGTTCCCAACACTCGCCTGCACACGGTCGTTGGAGCCCCCAGCCAGCCCCACTTGCACTCGAACAAGCCTTACTTTACAAGCTTCATGGGAGCAACTGGACAACCTCGCTCAACAGCTTGGCCTCAAGTCAGGCGTCTCTGTGGTCCGGGGAGCATTTGCATATACCCTGGCCGAATATACGGAGACAGACAAGATTATTTTGGGAGATCAAGACCTGGCAAATTTGACCCAAGACAGTTCGATCAACCTGATCCCAATCCGTATTCTACCACAAGATAACTCTGAGGATTTCCTATGTCGACTTGACAAGTTCCAGCGAACTGTGGCTGCCATACCAAGTCCCAATGTCCAGGACCTTCGAGACGTTCTCAGAATTCCTTCGTCTCAGGCCCCATACAATGCTGTATTCGTGTACCGGCAGCTCGCCGCTCAAGAATCTGATCCGGGATGCTCACGCGATGCATCCCGGACATCTCTTGAAGCCCCGATAGAACTCAAACTTCAAACTTCAGACAAGGGCCAACCGATTTGCTCACTTTCGTCTCAGTCGCTCTTGATGGATTCTTCCCATTTAGAACTTCTCATGAAACAGATCGATTCTTTGGTCACCACAATGTGCTCCGCACCTGCAGAGCACATTCACGACCTCACCCAACTATTCCCAAAAGAACTTATCTCTATCCACTCCCCAGTGGTAAGCGATGACGTCAAAATGGCTCCATTGATATCCCCGGCTTACTGGGTTGATCATTGGGCTTCTTCCAATCCCTCTTGGATTGGGCTTGAAATCATCGATGCAATCAGCGAAGACGATACAGTATCCCGAACATGGACTTATCGCGATCTTTCCGAAACCTCAAGCCGGCTCTGCGGTTGGCTCGTGAACCGTGGATGGCACAACAGGTCAATAGCAGTGTGCTTGGATCGCTCATTCATGGCGTACTGTTTGGTACTAGCTATTTGGAAGAGTGGAAACTGCTATGTCCCAATCGCTGAAGATCTTCCCGAGGCCCGGCAATTATTTCTTCTCTCTGATAGTGGAGCGAGTGCTTTCTTTGTCGACGAGAAGGTCTCGAAGATCCTTCTTTCTACTGAAAGTTGCGAAGTGATTGATATTGCCAGTCTAGAGATCTGTGCAAATTCCGAGAGCATCGAAGACAAGCAATCAATTGATCCGAAGCCGTCAGATGATTGCTACCTTCTCTATACTTCTGGATCTACAGGAGCACCGAAGGGTGTTCTTGTCAGTCGGGGAAACCTGTCCGCTTTTACTGAGGCACAGTCTGATTATATCTGTCGCGATGTTCCAGACACGCCAAAGTTGAAGGGTGTTGGGAGTTACCTTGCGCATGCCAGTCGAGCTTTTGATGTGCATATATGTGAGATGGTCCTCGGATGGAGACATGGACTTCGCCTTGTCACCGGCCAGCGAAGTATGCTTCTGGACAACCTATTCCTGGTTCTTAGGCGCTTCAAGATTACGCATGCTGGTTTCGTACCCTCACTTCTCGAACATGCAGGAGTTAGTGCAGAATCGTTGCCTGACTTACGCTACCTTGGAGTCGGAGGGGAAAAGATTTCAGAGACAATCATTGAGCGATTTGTTGGGAAACAGTCAATTTCTCTCGTCAATGCATACGGACCAACCGAAGCCACGATAGGCTTCACTAGCCATACCGTGAAGCCCTGGTCAACGGTACGCAATATCGGCACCGCCGTGGGAAATATTACCGTCCACGTCCTGGAATCGAATTCGTCAAAATATGTGAAGCGAGGCCAAGCAGGCGAGCTCTGTGTCACAGGTGATTTAGTCGCCAGCGGTTATCACCGGAGGCCCGATGCGGCGGGCTTCGCTGATCATCATGGACAGCGAATGTATCGTACGGGAGACATCGTGCGCCTGATGGCAAATGATTGCATTGAATATCTTGGACGACGAGACAGTCAGGCTAAGATACGTGGCCAGCGTCTTGAGCTTGAAGAAGTCTCCATTGCCATTCGTCGTTGCGCGGGGTTTCCAGTCAATGTGACTTCTATGGTGACTCCTTCTCCAATCACGAAACGACCTCAGTTGGTCTCTTTCATCAGCCCATCTGGTAACCGACTAGATCCTGCCAGCACCGAAGTCACCTTTCTGAAGAGTCACTACCAGGAATGGGTGCCAAAGATTTTGGAAAGTTGCCGAACCGAGTTGCCTGCCTACATGGTCCCCAGTGTTCTACTTCCAGTCTCTTTCATACCTATCCAAATATCGGGCAAAGCAGACACTCGTCGTCTTGTTGCATTATATGAAACAATTCCTATCTCGGACTTGCTGTTAGGACCAGGGGTGGTGGATACGGAGCCCATCTTCGAACCTGACTCGGAATCCAACCAAGAAACAAATTCGGATCCCCATTTCGAACCAGATGGTGCAGATATGACAGCCGGTGAGATGCAAGTTCGAAATATAATTTGCTCTCAAATAGACGCAGACCCAGGATCTGTCACTAGAGCAACGAGCATCTTCCAACTGGGGATTGATAGTCTGGGTGCCCTCGGTGTGGCGGGAAAAATGCGCCAGGCAGGATACACATGCTCGGCTGTCGATATCCTCAGCAAAGCTACAGTCGCAAAACTCGCATTATTGCCAAATACGAGCAAATTCCCCAGCCCAGAGCAAAGAAAAAGCTTTTCCGAGGAACAAGAAGCCGGTGTTTCGCACAGATTAGCGCAGCTTGACCAGAACTTCCGCAATTCCCAAGCGCATATTCCGAATTCTTCAATTTCCGTTATCCGTCCATGTCTGCCTCTACAGGAGAGCATTGTCTCTAGCTCTGTGGGCAGTCCAAAGCCCTTATATGTCAATCATATTATGTGCCGCCTTGGAAATTCTGTCAAACTCACAAATCTGAAGTCCGCGTTCGAAGACTTGATGCACCAAAATGAAATTCTCCGCACGTGCTTCCCGATTGTGGACAATAAGGTATTGCAAGTTGTTCTGAAACCTCGCATGGTGACCATCCCCTGGAACGAAGTTGTTGTCTCTGACGAAAACGTCGCCCGCGGTCTTTTCAATACGCGCCAGGCCGGAATTGCATCCAACATCATCCAGAAAATCGAGAAAGAGCCCCCGTTCCATATTCTTGCAGCTTCTCCGATATGTGAAGAAGACCCAGGCTGGTTCATGCTGTCGATTCATCATTCTATCTTTGACGGTGCTAGCATGGGTATCTTCCTCAAACAACTCCACCATCACTACACTGGCAATGCAGCAATGTGCCCAGTGGATCTCGCTCCTCTTTATAATTACATGGTGATGAATGCTGAAGAAGATACTGAAAGCTTCTGGTCTCGTTATCTTGATGGCTACTTGCCGGGTATTGTTGAGGATGATGATAGCGATGGTGGATCTTACTCCATCATGACAAAGACTCTACCTTTCGGATTATCATCTCTCTCCAAAATCGCTTCCGAGGCCTCTTCGACTACTCCAATCATGCTGGAAACGGTATGGTCAATTGTGCTAGCAGAGTGTCTAGACCAACGAGATGTTATATTCGGGCGTGTGATGAATGGCCGGAGCATCCCGGTCAATTCAGTGGAAGAAATGCTTGTTCCACTCGTGACTACCGTCCCTGCTCGGTTCAGACTTCCCTCTATCAGATCAAGTCTGCTGGAACTTGCTAAGTTTCATACACAGGCTATGTTTGAGTCTCTTCCTCATCAGCATACACCCCTTCGCGCGATCCAACGATACACTCGGGTGCCAGGTCCATTATTCAACACCTTGATCTCATACATCGTCACTAGCCCCCAATCACCTTGGGAAGATATGTTGACCGAAATGGATAGCGTTATGCCAGCTGATTATCCTCTTGCTCTCGAGATCAATGCGGAGCCAGGCGTTGACCGAATCACGTTGCGTTTGCGAATTTCCAAAGCTCTCTCTTCCAATGAACGATATGCCTCCCTCGTGGAAAGAACTTCTGATCTTCTCACGGACCTGGTTTCAAATGGGGATGCTATCATTGAGGCAACAGAATCATCAATGAAACAAAAGCCAACGAAGCTTGCATGGGATGAATCTCAATGGACTGACGTCGAAAGAAAGATTCAACAGGTCGTGGCTGACGTGTCAGGTCTTTCGGAATCGCAAGTTTCGAAGAATGCTTCATTTTTTGCATTGGGAATTGACTCGGTGATTTCAATTCATCTAGCGCGTTGCTTGAAGAAAGAAAATATTGACGCTTCTCCGAGTGATATCTTGAGGCATCCATCCATTGGGGCTTTACACAATCATCTCGGGAGGCCTCGTGCTGTATCACTCCAAGTGGAAACTCTCGAAATATCCTTAGACCATGATGTTGGCGCAGAACTGTTTCATTCAGATGACTTAATTGTTGAGACTTACCCTTGCACACCTCTCCAAACCGCAATGATTGGTCAATGCTTAAGTACCGCGGGCAAGGGATACCTTCATCACCATGTGGTAACTCTCAGTGGCTCACTCGACTTGGAGAGACTGTTCGATGCGTGGCAGGAAACGGTAAAAAATACCGATATTCTTCGCACTTCATTCCACCGCCAGGGCACGAATAACCAATTTCATGCTGCGGTTCACAAATATCCCCTCGTTCAATGGTCGCACCAGTCAAACATCGCTTCGCTACCCCAGGCCATCGAGACGGTATCTGAAGACGCATTCTACCCTAGCATTGAAAGCTTCAACAAGCCTCCATGGAAAGTCACTTTACTCACTGGGAGTTCCCAGCAATTGATGGTTCTCACGATGCATCATTGTCTGTACGATGGATTTTCTCTTCCCCTGCTCTTCACGGGCCTAGAGAAATGTTATCTCGGGCATACAGAAAGTCCAAGCTCATTTGCACCTGTCGCACGGAGAATAGCATCCAAACAATCATCATCTATAAAGTTTTGGACGGATGTGATAGCTGACTACCAATACTTTGGATTATCGATCTCGCAACCTTCCACTCAGCTTGACGTTCAGTGGGCAGAGATCAAGATACCAACTGGAGTTCCTGAATTACAGCGTCGATGTGGTGCAGTCAACGTCACCCTACAGACTGTGGCACTGCTTGCCTTTGGGCGCTCTTTGATGCTTATTGTTGGTCAGCGCGACGTTGTCTTCGGACATGTAGTCTCCGGTCGCAGCTTTGATATCGAGGATTCGATGAACGTGATAGGTCCCCTTTTCAATACGGTTCCTTTCCGCCTCAAGCTTGAATCCGCTCAGAAAAGCACCCTCGCAGTCTTGCAAGACATTCAAAACTTTTCTATTGATTGTCAACCCTTCCAAAATGCCCCGCTAAGTCTTGTGCAAAAGAATTGGCGGATGGCAAACAGCGGCAACGGATCTTCCTTATTTGACGCACTTTTCACGTTCAACAAGTCAGATAAATTCAGCGCTCAATCAATCTTTCAGCCATATGAGTCCTCTCGCCAACCGGATATCCCTCACTACCGACTCAATGTGGAATTCGACCAGTCTGCGGATCACCTTGTTATCCGTGCAGTAACCCGTGATTTGCTGACCAAAAAGGATGACCTCGAGACTTGGACCCAAAACCTTGCCCTAGGGGTCGAAGAAATCCTTTCATCTTGCAATGAACTAGTTTTAAAGTACCCCCCGGGAATCAATGACTTACCCATGGTCAAAGGCCCTCTGAGCATGGCAGATGACGCTTCTCTAGATAACTCTGTTTTCAGGACCTACATGGAGGGACTGAAGCTCATACTTTCTCAAGTTACTCATACAGAGCCTGAAAAGCTCCATGAGAGCAATAGCGTGTTTGCATTTGGCTTGGATTCAATTCTGGCACTCGATGTCAGTTCTCGGTGTCGCAATGCGGGGCTTGAGATTTCAGTCGCTGAGATCCTTCAAGGAGAAACTATTCGAGGCATCGCAAAACTCGCCTCAGATAAGCCGAGTGTATCCTCTACGCCGACAGAGTCTACTCCGGTCAAAGAATTTTCTGTCACCTCACATGCTAGAAGCAAGGCGTTATCTATCTTGTCTCTCTCGGACGACAAAATTGAGGATGTAATTCCTTGCCTCAGCGGCCAGAGCTTCTACATTGCTTCTTGGCTCCGCAGTCAACGAAAGCTTTGGGAGTTTACGTTCCCACTCACGTCTTCTTTCAAGCTTGACCCGGAGAAACTTCAGCATGCTTGGCAACAGCTTCAACGGAGACATAGCATCCTTCGTACGGCCTTTGCTGCTATACACCCAGATCAAGTTGTGCAAGTCGTGCGGAAGCCCTGTCAAGACATGTCAGAAAACAAGATTCATATTGAGCAAGCCTCCGGAGATCTGAAGCTATTGATTCAAGACCTAATAAAAAGTATTGGACGCAAAAAATCTGATCTTTTCACGCCCCCTATTCGCCTCGGGCTAGTTCAGCATGCAGAGTCCGATGTTATCCTGCTTACTTTACACCATGCTTTGTACGACGCAAGAGCCATTTCAATTCTAGTGCATGATTTGGAGGCTTTGTACCAGGGAAAGGCCTTGCCCCCCCTTCAAACTTCACGTCCTTTGTGCTCGACACACAACAAAAGTATGAATCTGGCTTTGCAGATGACTACTGGAAAGAAGCACTCGTCATGGGTCAACGCACAATTCTTGGTGCACAGTGCCCAGATGATCTGACTCCGTTGTGTGTGCAGTCCTCTCAGGCCATCTTCCCCCGGGATCTCACCATCGTGAAGAGTCAATGCCACGAGAAGAACATCTCCATACCTTCTCTCATGATACTGGCCATTGCACGCAGCTTGGCACGTACTGCGGAAGTTTCTCATCCAACATTTGGCCTTTTCCATAATGGGCGCTCGAATGATTATCCCGAAATTGACCAGATGGCTGGACCTACTGTGAATATGCTTCCGTTAGTCGTCCCGGATGCCTTGGTATCTCCTTCCCAAGAGACCCTGGTATCTATGCAGCAGAAGTTGGCCCAGCGTGCTCTCTATGACCAAACTGATCTTCAATCTCTTTTTCGAAAAATGAAGACAGTTGGTCAAGAGATAGAGTTCAACCTTCTCGTCAATATTCTTTGGAGTCAATCGAGCAGCGCCTTTAGTAAAGAAGTGGACAGCATCTTTGCTCCGCTGTCTCTAGACTCTGAGATCAGGCTTGACTCTGATGATTTAATTACCGAGGAAACTGCCGTTGATCACTTCGACTGGAAGTGTTTCCCAGGGGGCAGTAGCATCTATCTGGAGGTTGGCTACAATGAGGAACATGACTCTCTCCTTTGGAAGCTTGACTACACCTCCGTCTCGATGTCAAAGCAGAGAGCGGAGGAATTCTTGCAGAGGTTGGAAGATGAGATGAAGACTATCTTGGTCCATCTTTAAACTGCTAGCATCTAGCCCTTCATTGCTAGATGCTGAGAGCCATGCTTTCCTATTGTCTTGGTAGTTCAAATTCAAGTTTGAACATTATTAACGCGAAATACTTCTCCCTTTGTAAGAGACGCATTGTTTACTTTAAACCCAAAGATTTGGCCCAGGGTAGAAATATCTAACCTGACGGACGTCGTGCAAGAATCGACACAAATCCTCTTCCGCCTAGCGTTGGCGGCTTCCCCAGAACCTTGGAAGTTTCCAGCCAGCTGGTACGCCCGGCCCGGGGAACTGGCAACACAAGGAGGCGGATCTAGGGACAGCTTCCGCGGTGGTAACCAGATCTATAGTTTTGCCCAGCAACGTCTCTAAATTGACGTTTTCCGGCCCCATCCCTTTTCCCATGTCTCACACACAATTCATTTATCAGAGACACCAAACAAAGACCGAGAACAATGTCTTGTAACAGCCCTCTGATTCAGAAACACGTACAAACACCGTAAAAAAGACCATTGGCAAGTAATACCACACAAACCAAGTCAGCCCCGTAATTCAACCTCTACTAGTGCAATTTGTTTGAACAAAAGTACCAACGAACTTGATCCATCACCGTTCCAAACAAAATAAGTGGCATCACCGCATAACCAGCAATCCCCGATCTCCCAATGAAAGAATGTACCAGCGATATAAAACGCCCTAAAACTCAACAGACCCCCTCGCACGACCACGAACCAAGCCGTAAATGACGCTCTCTCTTGCCGCTCTGCTCTGCTCTGCCCTTTACCGCGGCTCAAAACCTTCATCGCCCACATGACTCCATTCAACTCTAGCCGGACATATTCGGACCAACGAGCGACCGTATCGCAGCTAATCACATCAGTCACACACGAAAGCCGCTGAAAAAGTCGTTCCAGACCGGTAGGCAAATGTGATGAATCGAGTTTGCTTGCGGGCTCTGCTCCTAAAGTAACAGCGGTGGGGGAGGGGGCTGGATTGGATTGGGGGCTAGTTCGCGGCGCAGGGCCCTCCCCGCGCTGGCGATTATTTTCCGAATTGCGCGTGCGAACTGGCGAAAAGGCTGACGCCGTCTGCGTAGTCTACAGTAGTCTACACCCACGCCAAATAGTCTACTGACGAAGAAAAGGGGGAAGCAGCCTAAGCGAGAGCGATCACGAACGGTTGGCAGTGCTCAGAAACAGAATGAACGTACTTTGGCATTTCGTTACTGGTACGAAGTACATACTCTGTACTCTGTATAGGCTATGACTATGATTAGTTACAAAACAAGGACCTTTGTTAAGTTTCTGGTAAATAGACAGCGCCAAACGCAAATCAAATTGCCTGCCCCTCCCCCCCTCAGTTCCCAAATCTCGGGCCTTTGGAGATGTGGGGCATGTTGCAGTCTTCCTCAGCAGATCCGACTTTTCCCCCGTAACTTTCCAGTTTATGGGGTTCGATTATCCAGACGAGCGGTCTGCAGTCTGTGGCTGCCGTTTTCCCGGTTTTGATGTCCCTGGATCGGGTTTGTACATACATGTAGGTGTGCTTGATCGCTCTGTTTTGCGTGTCCTATCGCGACACTAGCATGCGACCGCCACATGTGTTGTAGATCGGGTAGGCGAGGGCCAGTGGGATCTTTGCGGTGGGTTGCTGCAGATATTTGGGATGTATGTATTGTGATATCAACTGGCTATCAAGGATCAGCTTCCAGGGTTGTGAGGGAGTTTACTGTGTGTGGAGTGATGGTAGAGCGAGGGGTCGAATGATGAATTAACTTGCAGTGAGGGAGTTACGCATGTTTGAGTCCTGCTGGGGATTCTATGGGTGCCAGTGGGTGTATAATATATAGACATTTAATTAAACTGGCCGACCTGCAGTTGATGTTTGTCAACTTGAACTTAACACAATCGTCATTACAGTAGGACTATGTATAATTACTACTCAGAATGTCTCGGTCCCTCGACTGCAAATTTGGACAATCATTTCCGCGAATCAGGCAGTTGGAATGCCTTCAAGTTGAGGGCTTTAGATGACAACTTAAGGTCATCAATTCAAGTTACTAGTAGATTCTGGGCCACGAGACCGTGTCGAAGAAAGATTTGCTTTTTCCGGAGTTGGTTTCTCCTCGGCCACACGACATATACTAGTACATATATCGACAGTAACTATTACCACCGTTGACCCAAAAGAGACCCTAGCAGCTGCCAAAATGCAGGACAACGAATGAAGAAGCTTGGAGTGATGTTTGCTATATTTTTCTGACTCCTGAAGCTGAATGTCAATAGCCGAATGCCATCCCATGCCACGCGTGGTTATCACACCACAAACACCCGATCGAACTGCCGACTTTCTCACCGATACCATGACAAACAGCTCAGTTTAGAATTTAGATTGAAATCGAAGGGAGCTTCCAAGCTCAGCTCCGGTAATTCATCGTCAATATTGAAGTTGTCCTGTCTCGTATAGATTACAATCGAGGAATGATCAACTGTGGTACTCCGTACGGAGTACACCTCGACAACTTGAATAAGAAAATATGGATCTCGGGCTCTTAGACTTTATGAAATCATGACAGAAGTCCCTCCATATGGCGAAGAGAATTAACGACAACCGGGGTCCACGGGGACCAATTTATCCAAAGTGGGATAGTTCGTACTTTTGCACTTTCCACCTTCCAGTAGCGGGTCGCACGGATCCGTCCTGGGAGGGGAGGGGCAAAATAAGAAAAGGACAGCTACAGGTAGTTCAAGTCCGAGGATGAAAGTGAAACAGAACAAAAATCTCTATCAAAATGATGTCAAAAAATGCCCATGCAGGTTCCTCTTTTTAGCAGCAAAAAAAAGGTGACTGCAGTTCACGATGACTTGCGTGAATCATCTGCAGCGTTCCGGTGGTGGGCGGACTAGTTAGTTAACACCCAAACCAATTTGACTTTGGAGAAAAACTCACCCTATTCCCACTTCGGCAAGGGAACTTGGAGAAAGTCGATGGATTGGATAGAGGCAAGAACCGGTGTGTGAAAAAAAAAGATGTACCCTATAGTTTTACACTTTAGACAGAGCTCACTCTGGCGGAGATCTACAGACAGGTAAGGATATTGTTTTTCTTCTCTCTTTTCCTCTTCCAGTCATTTCGCTAAACTCAGGTAGTAATGCACAAGACGACCAGGTGTGGAAGTTTTACTTTTCCGTGACGAATCTGCTCTGCACCTAGACAATCGTGGAATCGGATATTCACATCTCGTCAACAGGGCGCAATGCAAGATCCCCGATTGAGTTGCTGGGAGACCCAGTAACTCAGAATCCTGAATTCCCTTGCATGCCGTGAACAGACCATCCGTTCCTGCGAGACTCCGTAACCGTCCCTACATGGATCTCTTTATCTTGGTTTGTTTTTTGCCGGGGTTGTAATCGTCCTTGATCAAGGGGGGATGGGGATGGGGTGCCAGCGTAAGGGGAGCCTCACTCCCATATGCAGAAAGCCTAATTTGAAATGACTTTGTTCTCGCAAGGCTGGGAAGGTCCCAGCCGACCGGCACAGAGCAGAAGTCCCAAATAGCACAAAGCAAACTCAGGAAATAGCCGCAGTCCGGCGAGAAATTTGGCAGGAGTTGGGTGCAGTCGATACTAGTTAGACCCTGGCCCATGAAAGGACCCTTCTATGGAAAGAAATGCAAGTCCAAAGCCACATGGGAAAACTCCTCCCACGTGGAGGATGTGCTCTCCGGGTCTCCGCCTGCTGTACGGAGTATGTAAATTAAGTACGGTGTGCTCCGTACGGCTTTACGGAGTGCTGGATGTATGTATGTATGTACATACAGGACACCTATGTGTCGTGCGGGTGTCATATCGACATCGTGCGACGTATCAAATTCCAAGTGGCGACAAGAGATACCGAAACAAATAAGAAGTGTCAGGATTCCAGCCATCCAGGATGGGCGAGTTCCTGCGCTGTGCAACGTGTATAGATCACATTTCTGTGTGGGGTTGAAAGCGTATTTCAAGAGCGACAATACAGGCATTCGTTTCGAGTTCGGAGACTGCAGTAACAGTATGAGTATGAGTAACAAGCCAGTAATCAATAACCAACCCTGTGGCCAGAGCTTTCAAGTTCTCATTGCTTTTCAGCTGGGAGCTGCCAGCTGGAGCTCCATGTGTGGATCATCAGTCCCGCCAGGACAGGCACAGACCAGGAAATGAGGTTTGTTGATGTTGTGTCGATTTCGGTTTTTTTTCAATGCGGAATCCACTATAACGCTCGACTCGCCGTTGGTGCCGCTGTCATTGATAAACTGTCAGAAGCTGAGAGAGGCGCGCTTTGCGAGAGGATTGGATTATTGGGGTACGGAGTATTAGGGGCGCACTCAAGGCTGTAGATCAACCGTGCAACTATTTCCAGCTTGGTCTATGTACGCTCGGCCGCGTATCCGATCCATTGGTGGCGCACGAATCAATGCACCTCATCGCCGATGAATATCTTATTTCTTGTACATTTGTCGGCGAATATGGTCACCTGGCAGGCGACTGGGTTACGTATTGGCTAGTTCACTCAGAGGCGACATGGGATATGCATTGCCCATGCCAGAGCGGACTGTGGATGTGCATACTGTACATTGTTAGGAGGAAGAACGAGTTCCACCCCCAGCATTCTTCGCGCGACAGCACTGGAGAGCCGATACACATGGACGGATATGCAAATACGGGATTCTCCTGTGGGATATTTGAACAGTTGGCCACTCCTTGATCAGCGCTGGCATCTGGCAAAAGTGGAGGGTTCCAAGGTTGATTATGCTTAATCTTGCTTCGATGCTACAGTACACTACGCCCGGCTATGACAACTGGTGTACATATTGAGCTAGCCTTATCTTGAGAGCGCATTCCAGGGAATGCCTTCCCCTATTCACGAGACACTTCTTTGCAAGGTGTCAGGCAGTCAGCCGCCCTGCTCGATTGCAGAACTGGATGTGTCCCCATCTGCGACCGGTAGAAATCTGCATCAGCCGCAGCCGCGTTGATCGTCAATAGTCGAGCCGGATTTTGCCTGATCTACGCTACGGGCTATCTAAGTTCAGTATACTGGTCAGAGCTTGGAGCATCAGACCGCGGGAAATGTGTATTCAATGCAGTCGAGGTCTCATACGCTTCGCCATGCGATTTACCGTCTGCAAAGACAGCAAACTATCCGGCTGACGCCAGCCGGGGATGAATGGATGTCGGCTCTGTAGATAGATAGATACCAGACCAAGGGGAGGGTTGGGAAGCAGATCATCTTCTCCATATGGAGTCATTCCACTAGTCCCGTGAACCCCACGACTGACATTCATTGGATGGGCGTGGGGGAGGGCAGGGGAAAGGGCTATGCTATGCTATGCTATGTTATGTACGTAGGTATTGTCTTGCATATCGCGACTCCGGGGATCCTGCGCGAATGCGATCATGCGCGCATTGATCGCGACGACCGAGATGTAAACAGAACATGTCGAATAACCCTGGAAGTATGGAAGTAAATCATCGGCCTATCATCGTGTACGTACAGACATTCTGTACATGATGTTAATCCAGGCACCAGGAATCCAGCCCAGTCCAGTCCAGTTTGATCTCATGCATTTCGTTCGTAGGAGCTGTTGGTCTTTGGAGTAGGGTAGGGACTCCATCCAGGTCCAGTTCTGTTCCTTGTCAAAATGTCCACCCCTTGCATGTGCGCATCAGTCATCTCCCAAAATCTATCGTCACTACCGAGTAGAAATCTGTGCCTTGGGGAGTGTTTCATGCATGGCGTGTGGAGCGACATATGAGATTATTGAGATTGCGCGTTGAATATTCACCTGCTTGATCGCCATTGCCAGCGGGACAGATCAGTGCAGGGCAGGACTACCTAGGTAGACAGGACGCGCTGCGCCGTGCCCCGCCCTGCGTATGCAAACGCAAGTCGCTGGTAGATTTCGAATCATGTCTATCAATTTACTTTTGTGGGGGGCGAGGGTTAATTAATCGAGAATGAGGACGGGACGCTGGTTGGGTTGAAAAGTCGGCCAGATGGTTTGTATAAACCCCTCCCAGTCGGTAAATGTAGAGTTGAGTTGGGTGGTGGCCCAACGACCGGTTCACGTCGGGCAGACTGCGCCCAACCGGACCCAAGGAAGTGGACAGGTATGGAGAATTGTGTATCTAGAATTTGAAGATTTTGAAGATATCGAGGGGGGGGGCAAAGGAGAGTATGTTTTGATGTTTCACTCTCATGTCTGTATGCATGTCAATATGTATTGTACGTGACCCTCTGATTCAAGTTCTGACTCTGCCCTCCCCTCCCCCTTCGATGGTGGGCTAAGGGGATAACTTGTGCTTCGATTCGCCCAATAAGACCCACGCCTCACATCAAGGAATGAAGATCTGGAGATAATTCGGATCCGAAGGACAGATCAGTAAGTATGCAATGGAGTATGGAGTATTAAATTTGGAATTTGCTTTTTTATTATTTACTACCTTTCCTACTAGTATTCTCCAAGGTCCATCTCGCAATTATGCTTCGTATTCAAGTCGTTACGGAGTACGGAGTACGCAAGCACAAGACATGTACCTATGTATGACATATAGACCCCGGTCAGACTAAACGGCCGTTGGTTCAAGTTGAGCCCCGACGGCAAGAAATTTAGGCCAGGGAGTCGATGGCCGAGTTAAAAATGGAATGAAACTTGGGGTGAATCCGAACTATTGTAAGAAGTACTGTAAGTAACCGCTCCAGCGGGTTCGCCTTCGACTCCACTCCAATTCCACTTTCATTCCGTTCCGGGCCCGTCGAGGCAAAATATAGGCGGCAAGTTGCAAAACCAGGTGTTCAGATGACAGGGTCATGATATCTATCTGTGCCGCGACGGGTGAAAACGGTCGCCCCCCCTTCCCTCTCCCCTCCAAAAAAGCAAAGATAGAAGAACCAAACAGAGTACTGCTTCTGCTAGCGCGGCACTATCGCTCTTTGACTGATTTCTGTGCGACTCTCAACGGCCATGAATGTGCCGGACAGACAGGGGCGGGGGGGAGCTTGTACCACTGTTGCGTCCTGGATGTCCAAGGTTTATCCTCCTCGAAGGCTTGCCTTTTCTAATCTATTTCGGCGGTGTGGTGGGATCGTCTGCGGCAGGCTTTTCTGGAATGAGACATTCATGTTCGTTGGACAGTTGGGTTCCGTGTCTGATATCATTTGCCGGTCGGGATCATCAGGGAGCCAATGATGGTGGGTGAAGCGGGTGCCACTTGGGCCCGTGGCTGGTGATGAAGTCATATTCCTTCAGGATCGGGGATCATTTGGTTGGTGCTCGAAAATTACTAGTAGACGAATCGTAGGGAATGAATCGGTAATTAATCTAGTTAATCTATCTTGAGAACCTAGTACTGGGTACTAGGTACTAACTAATAACTTGTACAAAGCTAATCTACCGAATACCTAGGTACTACTAGTACAGTTTTAGTGCACACTTGGGCAGTACCTACCTACAATGCACTGATTGAGAACTTGAACTCCAGATATACCTAGGTACGTATAAACCCACTGGCACTAGACCAGAAATAACGGGGACCCATGTCAGACTGAAAAAGGGTGGGCATCTCTCATCTCTCGGCTACAATTTACAAATCTGGTCTACCTACGGAGTACTCACTCCAATTTCCACGGTGGAGCCTGGCTATTCCCGTGCTTGTCCCATGGACGAGAAACGGGAGTCCCCTGATGTTACCCGTGGGTGTGGGGAGGAGGTAACCGAATTACCCGTACTTTGAATCTACTCTTAATTTAACAATTTAACTTGAATCTACCTAGGTATATAGTATCCATGGATATTGGTATCTTATCAGCCTTGTTCACCCGCATCGTGACAACCGCATGTTGACCACTATTCCGGGTCAGCCCATGATCATTGATCTACCGGAGGACCAGAGTCCTGGGAAGACCGGACCTGTTCCTCCCCCCCCTTTACGGCGCGGGATCCTCGGCCTCCGGAGTCTTCTCGAACGCGGACCTGGAGAGTCGTATCCACCTTGGAAGGCATTGTCATTTATGCAATAGAGTTCGAAGGCGGCGAGTGTCTGGCACCCCTTGCAAGTTGCGCTGCCGAGGTCAAAGTTTAAGTGCTGATGAGAGGTCCATATGTGTACATTACCTACGTCCGTCTGGAGTACTATGTAGACTGAGAGGAGATCGGGGACCTGGAAGGAAGGATGGACAGTATTGGACGCGTGGTAGTTAAGATTTCCCGAGGATTGGGTGCTGGGAAGCAATCCCTGCCCGGGCTTTGCCTCTTTTTCGCGTAGTTTAGTGTTAGTGGTAGACGTGGAGACGGTGGGGAGGATGAGGGATCGGCTTAAGGGACGGAGTACTCGGAGTATCCCGTGGGCGGGATAGCGTAATTGATAGTTACAGAGTACGGAGTTCTCTCGTACATACTCTGTAGAGCTAACGTAGACAACAGAGCATAATGTGATTGGTATATAGATAGCAGAGCATAACATGAATGCTGTATAATCTCTACTCCGTACTCTGTACTCTGTAGTCCTACGGACAGTGCAGTGGACTGTAGGTGGCGATCAGCATGACCCACTTCTTCATTCCAAAAGGAAGGAAACAGACCTGTCATCTTATGACGAGAGACACCAAGGAAGTGGAAATGGGGATAAGTCATCATAACACAGGTGTGTTATAATATGGCCAGCCTCGCACTGGTGCAGACTCGCCAGCCCTAACTTTGACTCGAGTGATCTTGGCGTATCGTCAGAGTGTAAGATTACTCAGTATTGGTAAATACAGTAAGTTACCATACATCATACCCTAACCCACCATACCTACCCGTACATACCCAAAAGAGTCCATGTCCATCGTACCTTCCCCTCCATTGTCATTGCGCATTCAGACCAGTCGACTTCCTTTTACACGATCTATCTGATACGCATCTTCCTCCTCTCTTCTGCTCTTCCTCCACCTCCACTTTCAACTTCATCTTTCCCTCTCTCTTCCCTACATTCCATCTCATCTTCCACGACATGGGTCCCTGGTCCGATCTTCGCCGCATCTGATTATTTCTTTGTTCCTAGTCGCTCCACCCAACCCCCCTCAGAGCTTCTCCATCGGCGCGTCCGTTTGCTCTCTCATTTTTGTGGCGGCCTTACTCCCCTACAATACTTTTATTCCTTCTTCCTGCTCGCTGCAGCCTGCCTGCTGAGCTTACCTACCTTGGCGACTTCGTTCCTTTCACCACGCGCCCTGCACATTTCCCTCCATCTCCGTCTCGACTCCAACCCCGACTCCAACCCGGTTCCTTTTTCTCCCCCTCGAATCCTACCGCGACTCGCCATGTCCATTTAAATCCCGGCGCCTTTTTTCTTATTTGGTCTCTTTTTTTTTTCTTGTGTTAATACATGACATCGGTCCAGTTGCACCGCTTCTCATCGGTATATTGACGCGCCTCCTTCCATATCCCGTTCTATCCCATCTTGATCCTGTTTGTACTGACCCCATCTCCAAGAGCTCTCGCGATCCCGTTCCGACGCGGACTTCACCCTCTTCCGATGAGTCGCATGCCACCGCCCGAGGGGCATCATGGTCCACCCCCGGTCCCGCATTCCTATGAACCTGCCTCTGCCTGGCGTCCTCCCTATGCGCCGCATTATGACAGTCATGCTCATCCTCACGCCCATCCACACGCCCATCCCCATGTTTCCGCCCCGGAACGCAGACCCCCCCACGACCCAGGCCACTCTCCCACCGCCAAATTACCCTGCCATGCATGGCCGCGAACTACCACAGTTACACCTCGATGGTCCTTACAGTCGCCCCGGCAGCTTACCAGGATCAGCCGGCCCTGACCCTCACACCGCACAACATCCTTTTCGTCCCCCAATGAACGGAACCCCCCCACGAAGTCTCGCCGCATTCCGCCCCGCCAGAGTACCGTGCGCCGCGCATAGGCTATCAACCAGAACCCCCCCGGTCCGGGTGAGACGACGCCTACTTCTGGTACTCTGCCTCCGCCTTCGCAGTTTATGTCTCCTGCTCCGGTTTCCGCTCCTACCCCTGCACCTTACGGTCCTGACTACTATCAAAGCACGGCCTATGGGCTACGCCAGCGCAAGGCGGCCAGAGCACAACAAGTATGTTCAACAAGTATATTGGAGGATTATACATATATATGTACCCTCTATATGTAGGATTGACTAACCATGTCCGACAGGCATGTGATCAATGTCGAGCGAGGAAAGCTAAGTGCGACGAGGGACGCCCTGAATGTAGCCACTGCAAGGAAAATGGGTTGAAGTGTGTCTACAAAGAAGTCCCGACTCATAAGTTCGTCTCCTCCCTCCCCGGAACAACAATTTGAACTGAATAATCCAAAATACTGACCCCAGAACAGACAGGAGAAATCTATTCAGCCTATCTTAACCCAGCTCATGCATTTTAAGGATGAGGTCCTACAAGATCTTAAGAGAATTCACAACGAACAAGAGCACAACACCAATCTTCTCTCGCGACTTATCAGCGGACATGGTACGACCGTTGCCGATCAAAATCGACTAAGTCAATCAGCCATCCCCGCCCCGGCTCGTGAGCTTCCAGTGAAGATGGAATCACAGGTCTTAGCGCCGATGGATCCGATGGCTGAGAAGAGCCCCTACGGACAGCAGCAGAGGATGGATCTGGCCACCGTCAGTTTTAATGAACCAGGAACGAATGAGGATAACGAGGGCGAGCTTTCAATCCCGCTGGAACATACGACCGCGGCTCACAAACTGTTAATGTGGCCCTCAATCAAGAAGTTGCTAAATCCCCACGACTATGATAAGGACTATGTGATGGGATTGGAAGGACAGCGCGGTGTTACTAGCATCTTCGATCGCGGTGAGGACTCCTTCTCAGCCGACGGCTCATTCTTGCCATGGGACCAATCTACACCAAATGGAGATACGAACGCTCAAATGCAATCGGGATTGCCAAGCTGGGCAGGCTCAGCATTGCAAGACTCAGATGCAGATATCTCTCGATTTGGGATACTGCGATTAGATGGCAAAACCGTCAAACGCTACTTTAATAGCTATCTCAATCAGATGCATCTGCTGCATCCTTTCCTCGACCAGAGAGAGCTCGAACTCAAAGTGGATACCTTTATTCGCTGCTACTGCCCTACCGATCCTAATTCACTCTGCCGTGATAAGAAGCGTAAGCGCTCAGTTGAAGATGTGGATGGCAGTGGTAGAGATAGTTCGACAAAGCCACCTGTTGGGTTGAATATGGATTGTGCGATTATCTTGCTGACTCTTGCTATCGGTGCTATTTGCGAGACGAAATCACCGCTCCCAGGACCCGTGATGGAGAGGGAACCCGATTACCGGCAGCAATTCATCCCCGGCCCAAGGCAAACTATTCCAGCACCAGCCAATGGTACCAACACAGTCAGTGGTTTCCTTTCTCCCGCAAACTCAGATTCTGCTCTCCCATCGAACACATCTTTCTACGCCCCATTTGAGGGTGGGAGTTATTCTTTCCCATCCTCAGCATCGGAGTCACGCCCCGGTAAAGCTCCGATACGACGATCTACCATCCATGATAGTCAACCTAAGAACTACCAGGTGATCCCAGGTCTAGCCTTATATGGCTATGCAATACAATCCCTGGCCTTGCTTCACTCTGGTATCCATATAGAGCATGTACAGGCAAATCTTCTTGCAGGTATCTATGCTGGACAGCTAGCACACCCGTTCTCAAGCCATAGCCATATTCACAAGGCTGCCTGGGCGTGCCAAGTTCTTGTTGCCTCCAAAGTGAAAGGAGGTCAAACACAGGATCTCTTGAACTTTGTATACTGGACTTGTCTTCAGTTGGAGAGTGATCTTCTGGCCGAATTGGATATTCCTGCCAGTGGTATATCCCGCTCCGAGTCTATAATCCCTCATCCAAAGGGCAAATGGACTATCCACCCTATGCCTAACGATATGAAAGATCCTCATGTTTTGATGATGATGTATTATTCATCCCAGATTCATCTTCGCAAAGTTCTCAATCGCGTCCACACTGATCTTTACAAGGTGTCAAAGGAAGGTCAATCTCGTTGGTCGTCTAAGGTGCAAGAAACTCTTAGCCAGAATCTGGACCTCTGGCACTTCAGCCTTCCCGATATCATGACCTGGAAAGACGATGATCCACCTGCGAAGGAGATCAATGCAGCTCGAATGCGAGCTAAGTATTACGGAGCTCGATACATCATTCACCGACCGTTATTATACCATACTCTTCATTATGGTGGATCTGGCGCACGGATAGATGGTCAACCGTCTGTAGACTCCCCTACAGGATCAGCGGGCAATTCCCAGCCACAGCAGATGTCTCCTTCCATCACCAATACCTCCCACCGGGCGCAAAATATGACACGGATGCTCAGCGACATGGGAACAGTCTCGAGCAACCCTGCCGCTGCTTTCCCTAATGGTTGGACACCACCCACCGTCAACTTGCGAGATCTCCCTTCTAAGCTTCGACGTGCCTGCAAGGTCTGCGTGGACTCTGCTATTCTTAGCACAAAGGCCTTCGACGGCATTGAAGATCCGTTCGAGGCTCTCAGTAATTCATCATTCAAAGACGAGCCGTATAAGAACATGCAAGATCCACTCGAGGGCCACCGTATGGAGGATCCATTTATCATGGACCCGAACTTTGCCTCAAAGGATGAGAAGACTCGACTTGTGGTTACTAATATCTTTGGTACAGCTCATGCGTAAGTCTCCAATAACTAAATCTTCTACCAGTCCCGTCCAGATTTACTTACCTCTATTCTAGTCAATTCGGAAACCTGCTCGTCCTGTCGGCAACATACATGTCCAGTCTCTTCCGAGCTCGTCGATCGCGACGAGCTGAAAACACTCTTCAAACGAACCATTCGCTTCCTCCTGCGCAGTGAACACATCTCTCCAACCCTCCGCGCTGACGCCCGAATCTTGACGGAAATCTACAAGAAGATCTTCCACCACTCCCCCACGCTAGAGAAACCCAGTACCCCTTGAGGGAAAGGCCTCAATCTCATGATGACATTCTAGTTTCATATTCCCATTCTGGCCAAGATTTCCTTGACCACGGTAGTTGGTGTTCCATTGGCGCGATTTGATACCATTGCGTCTTGATTTTGGATTTTGAATTTAGTCCCCTGTCTTGTCCAAGTATCTACCTCAGGCATGGTGTAAGACCCAGCAGGATTAGTATCCTACCTGGACGACAGGGTGAACTCTTGTCTTATTTGCTGCGAAATTGCATTTAGTGGATTCAATTACGATCTATCTAACGGGTATATGCACTTCTTTCCGGGAGTTCCAGTGTGGCTATCACTTTATTTTGCATGATAAACCATTCATCACTCTTCTTTACCCGATCGTTACCTCTGGGGCTTTGGTCCCCACGGCCTCTTTCTTTTTCACGGCGATGCATTTTTTCTTTTCTTTGATTGGCCGGTGTTTTACTCTGTTTGGTCTATCTATATCCATATCTATATCATATCCACAGTGAACGAAGTGGCTTGCTGTTCCCGAGTTGCTAGTTCCAAGGTTTTCTCTTGAGAATACGCATCCTACTCGTACCTACTACTAGTACCTAATACCTCTATCATATCATCACTCCCCAGCACAGCACATGGGTTATAACCCCAAAGACGCAGCGAATCCCAGTAAGCATTGAAATCATATCATTATTCATCAGTATGTGCTAGATTAAGTACTAGTACAGCTGTACAACTCAAATAGGACCCAGAGTCCTCTCTATCTAAAACAACAAGAGATCTAAACAAAAACCACTCCAGCTCCAAGCATCAAAGACACACCCCAAAACCAACTCGGACCCCTCACCCAGGCCATCCCCCCACCAGCCCCATTCTTCTCAACCGTCCCACTCGCACTCGCACTCGCACTTGCACTCGACCTCGAACTCGAACTCGAATTCGTCAAACTCCCCCCACTAAACGCAATCCCCCCCTGCACGCCCCCATCCCAAAATTCACGCACAACCGCCGCCCCAATCTCCGCAACACCGTACGTCGACGCCATCAGGTGCGTCGACAGCGCAATAGGCGGCACACTTGCGTCGATAACACGGACATTGGCTAGCCCGTGGACGCGCAGGTTGGCGTCTACGACACCGCCTTGTGAGAGCGGGAGCATGGCGCATGAGGAGGATGGGTGATATTCTGTTCCGGCGTTGGTGCGGATCCAGGTTTCCCAGTCGCTGTCTGATTGGGTTGAGGATCCTGGCGAGGTTTCGGCTGTGAGGTTTGAGGATAGTGGAGTTGTGTTTCCGAGGCGGCGGGCGAGTTTTAGGGCTGTTGTTAGGATTGATGTATCTGATGTGGATGTTAGCTTGGGCTGACTATCTTGGGTTCGAAGGATTGGGGGCAATGGCATACCGGATGGGTTGGAGAGATAGTTCGGGTCGATGACGGGGTAGTCCATTGGATTTGATGAGTTGATGTAGATCCGGCCGTGGGAGTATGGGTGTTGGAGGGCGGCTGTTATGCCTACGTCGCCGTTTCCGTCGCTGTTCATGAAGAGGAGCTCGACTAGGCCGGTTGGGCTGTTGAAGATTTGCGCCGTTGTGTTGTAGATTGCCTTGTAGCCTTCCAGGACGGTGTTTTCGTATGTTGTGTTTGGGGCGTAGGTGGTGAGTTTCGATTGGATGGTTGATAGTTCGGATTCGAGGGTTGTAGGGTAGATGTTGCTTGCGTTTACGTAGGCGATGGCTGAGTCGATGTAGGTTAGGAAGAGGGGGTTGTTCTGCGGTTGTTAGATTTGTCTTGATTGAACATTTGGTTATGGTGGGCTTTGTTTTGTATGGTAGGTTGGGAGGAGGTGAGGTGTTGTTGGCTTACCCTTTCACTGCCGTTGTCGTAGAAGACTGATCCGGCTGTTTCGACGTCTGTGGTCCATTTTATGGTGGCGCTCTGGTTGGGGTTAGTTATGGATTTGAGGAATAGAAGTTTAAGCACGTACCAGGTGGTCCTGGAGATGCTGGCCTACGCCAGGGAGTTCGTGGACAAGATCAACACCAGCGCTGGAGAGCACGTCCTTTGGTCCTACTCCGCTGTGAAGAAGAACCGCCGGACTGCCGACGGAGCCGGCGGCTAGAATGACTTCCTTGGTAACATTGATGGTCTTCTTCGTCGTGCCGTTGTTGGGCGTGTACTCGACTGCGTTGGCGGTCAGGTTGGACGTACTGTCGAAGATAATGCGCGTGACGTGCGCGTTGGCTAGGACATCATAGTTGCCCCGATCAGGGAGCGGGTCGAGATAGCCGGTTCGACTGTATGAGCGGGTCCAATTGCTTGGGTTGATGCAGGATGTCGAGACTTCTGCGCCCCAGTTCGAGCCTCCGTACATGTCGGCGGAGATGGGGATGCCGATATTGGCGCAGGCTTCGGACCATTGGCCGACCTGGTCGAATGTGCTGTAGAAAGGTTAGCATTTCACTCGTCTGGTGCAGAATAAGAGGCATTGTGAGCATACAATCCAGGATATGAGGCGTGGATCGGTCCATCGCTGCCGTGAGTCGATGAATTCCATGTGATATCCGCCTGTTTTTCGACGGCGTCTGTTGGCGGCGAGAAAGTCTCACTCTTCTTCATGGCAGAGTAGAAAGAGTCCCAGGACCAATTCTCTGCCCCGTCCATATCGCCCAGCATACTCTGCCACGCGTTAATCTCATTCTCGCCCGGCCGGGTCATGTACAGCCCATTGATGGCGGAACTACCACCCAGCACTTTGCCGCGGGGCCAGTAGATCTCGCGATCATTTGCATTGGGCTGCTCGACGGTGTAGAAGCCCCAGTTCAAGGGCGTTGTCCATAGGGAGTCAAAATATGAGTATGCCGGGGTATCTAGATGAGTCGTTAGATGGGCAATAAGGGCAAAGAGGAGTACCAAGTACCAATTCGATTCCGATATTCATCTCCATTGCCACCAGACTCAAGTACCAGCACAGTGTGGTTTGTATCTTCTGCCAGACGTCCTCCAAGTACGAGGCCAGCCTGACCTCCGCCGATCACGACAAAATCGTACGAATCGGCGATCTCCGTGCGCGGAGATAATGCGAGCGCGAAAGGCGCGACAAGGCCCGCGAGAAGCTGAGCAGACAGCGCCAGCTGCATTACGATAAGGGCGATGTGAGAGATCGATTGGCAAAAGTTGACATCGAACAGGCAAGAAAGAGGAGCAGCCAGGCAGGTTAGAGGGGAGAGAAGAGGGCCGAATTAATAGACTGCTGCTGATCACAGCACTACAACAGGTACTGGGGAAAAAAAAGAAAAATCAAAAGTCAAAGAAAAGAGAGAGAAAAAGGAAATATGATTCCAAGAAACTGCGCTATCGAAATAAACACCGACGCCTGGCCCCTCCAAAGGTTAAACTTTGTACGGCGGACTCCTAGTGTAGCTTGTTGCGCTCCGCGGTCGTGCAGTAATCCACCAGACCAGCACGCGACGATATTGGCCGGGCCCTGAAGCCCCGAGACAAGGCGGGGGCCATGATTTAAGATCTTCAGATATCGCCGTCCAATGGGCAAATTGGATCTCGATAAGGTGAAACCGACCTGACGCAATCCGTGGGTGGGATTTGATATCATGGCGAAACCACGGCTCTATCGCAGATTTTTCACGGGTACCTTAAGGTATCCGATTTGATTCTGCGTGGCACGATCGATCGGGGAAATGCCGTGCATAATAGACGCAGATACAGGCAATCCACACAAGGATAGTTGGCAAAGGCAAATGGGTACTCCGTGACTACTGCAGGATGTAGTCAAGTGTGGACGGTCGCACGAAGATCACCACGTTGCTAGGCGGGTCCGTGTGTTGCTATGTCCCGTCCACCGCCTCTCGTCGGGCCATTATCGCAAGGCCTGAGAAACGAGGGGAGAAGTGGGTTAGTGGGCTGGTTGGTCGGTGTTTAATTCCTCCCTGATGGCCCGCGCGGATAGGAAGGTCGCTAGTTGATCATAATAAAAAACAGGGAAGTCCAGAGCCTCGCCAGCATGGACGTTCCGGTTCTAGATGCTCCACTTTTATGTATTCTTTGTTTCTTTTCAAGGTTTGTGCCCTGGGACATTCCACATGTCTTTGAACAAGAAAATTCGGCGGGCCGGTGGGTCCTCCGTTGAAGTAAAGTAAAACAGAATGATGTAAATGCTTAATTATGGAACGTTCATCCTGACCGGTACTAAAATGGAAGTAGTAATTCTGCCTTGGGGATTTCTTCTCTATAATTAATTCCTTAATATTGCCTGCCGAGCTGCAGGTGAGCCTCAAGCTTGTAACATCATCGGCAGTTTTGACCAGGGGTATTGGACCAATCACAGTTACGGTATCACACTGCCACGTAGACGGCCACCTCATCCTAGATTACATTCTACATTATTGCGCACAGTCATATACAGCACGTAAAAAAGTAACATCCATCATAATTACCCATCACAGACAACCCTCGTACTGATCCGATTGGATGCCCATTCAAGCTTACTATTTGCTTTTCAATATACTAGTACTCAGACTACACCTCTATGACTTGCAGGTCTACGAATATTGATCACTCTCACTTTCCAGTACAAAACAATTTATTATTTTTCTCAAGTGTCAGTCGCAATAAAAAAAATGAGAAGATAAAATAAAATAAGCCAATAAATATACCAAAATCAACTTGCCTGGTAAACCAAATATCTATGCCGTACCAACGAGCTCAATATCAAACCGGATGTGCAGGCGATGATCCCAAATCTCCGTTTTAGATGCCCATGTCTCGATCCGTGCAATGCGTCGAGTGCCCCGAAGAAACGCACTCAGAACCAAGTATGCGACGAATTTGCCAATACGAGAGCCTATCAAGCCATCATATTCCGGGGTACCATAGTCCCAGACCTGAGGTACCGAGGCTGGCCAGCTTAATCCACGCCGATTAATATTATTCTCGCTATATAGCAGATCCTTAACAAAGGGCGCTGTCTCTTCGTTTATAATGTGTTGAACAAAGACATGTCGCAAAGTATTCATTTCAAAGTTCCGGGTATAAAAAGCCTGTGCTAATTCAGATTGTTGATAAGTATTTGACCCTCTCCTACGATGTATGAACTTTATAACGAGCACACCTGGACCACACTCTCCATAGAAAGTAAAGTCATTTGTTCTCATATGGAGTGACCAGTACACCGGATCTGCTGACAATCCAAGATCTAAAACCTGTTGCGCAAAATCCGGATCTATAGTCGTAAGTACAGGTGGCAGCGAATAATGATGTTCTGTCTCCAGCTGCTGAATTGTCAATGTTGTTGGGTTAATAGGGCAGTCTGGCGCCTGAGGGTTCTCTATCCACTCGCGTCGCTGCTGCCCGTGTAATTGCAGTCGTCCATACGGGAAAGGAAACTCGTCAGTCTGAGCCCAGGGCTCAATGGTTTTCTTTGCTGGAGTAGGTTCAGGCTGCGACTCACTAGGTGATGATTCTAATGGAAGCATTGGGAGTGACTGGTACATCAAAGGGATTCCAACGGTCGTCCGAGTAAAGAATGCAGGGAGTTCAGGAGGTCCTGGAGGAGGAGGAGCTACCCCAGTGGAACCAGAAGATGGAATCACCTCCTCCACTCCTTCTTCTTCCTCTCCTTCAGAACTCAGAGGTGGCGGGTTTTGAGCCCGCCGGTTCAAAGACTCGTTAGATCTAGCCGCCATTTCAGCTCGACGTCGAGCCTCTGGCGATATCACTTCCAGTACCCCTACCTCAGGAACAGGAGCTAGTGAACCAAAACTAGGAGGTGGCGGTTTTGGAGGCCGGCCCAAAAAGGCCTCCATTCTAGCCGCCTGCTCAGCTCTACGTCGAGCCTCTGGCGACATCTCTTCCGGTACCACTCCCTCATGAATAGGAGCTGGTGGAGAAGGGGCAGGAGGTGGCGGGTTTTGAGCCTGTCCCGACCTCTCTGGAACGTTAGGAGGAGCATTCTGAGATTCAAGCTCATACTGGGAGAATCGGCAAAATGCAAGAGCGCAAATGGCACCGCAAGTAGCACACAGACCATCGTAAATAGCCTCGCCAGCGCCCCTGGGTTGCTCATTACCTTCCTCAGCTTCACGGGCTCTTTGAAAGCCCCGACGTGCAGCTCCTGTGCAACACCCGCACACGGTGTCGAAAATTGAATCGCTCAGGCGTCGTGCTGTCATGATGAAGGGATGTAAGTAGTAGTGGTGGTGTTAGTAGTAGCAATGGTAGTAGCAGTAATAGGCGTGCGAATTGTAGTACTAGTAGTAATACTGTAAGTGACTCGGAGTAGACAATGTTCTATATTCAATAGCTAAAAGCTGTCAAATGGGTGAAATAGTCCGTAGTGCTCGCGGTGGATACTCGATGCTCATATTAAGCTTGATTGATACATCTTTAATCCAGGTTATTTGAGGCGTATTTATATCTCGAACTCGATGAGTCCGAGGCGAGAAAAATTAGTAAACAAGCTCTATTTGCAAATAATGGGATTGTTAATATTCGAGTTTATTTGATACTTTCGTCAAGACAATGTCGGAAAGATGTTTTATAGAGGCAAAGAACTTGAAATTTTCGGGAACAACAATCCGACTGACAACAAAGAACTTAACATTAGATCTAGACCGAGGGGTTCAAACAATAATCTCATTGCAGACAATGAGATACGATGTTCTTTAAGAAATGTTCTTGGCAGTTGGAAGACTGCCGCAATTTGGATTACTCGCGCATAGGGCTGTAGAGTAACCAAGGAATCCCTGACTGACTCGCAAATTGTCTCAATTCAGATTAGCTCTGGTCAATGCATAACGGAGCTCATCCCGGTCAATGCAGTCAATGCAGGATCAAATGCATTTTTGTGCGCGGACCTCGGCTTCCCCGCAGAACGATACCCCATGCAGATCAGCAGGAGCTGCTTCATTTACTGCGAACATCCACCTCGAGTCTGCGTTGCAGTATAGTCAATTCACTCTACAAGCCTGACAGTACCACAGTACTACAGTACTCTATTGTCCCCATTTTCATATCCTGCTTGATCTACCATGGCATCACCAGCAAAGAAGTGGTTTTCCAATGAAGGTAAGCAGGCCTAACCGACTCCAGGAGAAGCTGAGAAAGACTAACCCAACACACCACAGGCTTCACAGCCGACGTCCTGGGCAAAATCATATCCGGAACACTCCTAAGTCCCTGGAAAATTGTCCCAATACTAGCATTAGCCCAATACACTATCAAGGGCCGAGAAATCATCGAGTCACGCCCTCACCTCCTAAGAGCCCTCCGGGCCCTCGCGACCCTCGCCATTCTAGGCCGACTCGGCGCCTGGCTCGACCACCGCGCCATCAACAACGGCCAAAAAGACCACTACGACTGGAACCGCGAAGTAGTCATCCTAACCGGCGGCAGCGGCGGCATCGGCCGCCACGTCGCGCAAATGCTCGGCGAGCGCGGCATCAAAGTCGCCATTCTAGACATCACGGCACCAGACACGGCGCTGCCGAACAGCGTGCGCTATTTCAAGTGCGACATTACCTCCGCGGCGGATATCAAAGAGGTTGGCGCCGCGGTCCGGGCCTCATTTGGCCGGCCAACGATCCTGATCAACAACGCGGGCATTCTGACAGGAAAGACGATTCTCGGCACGACGGAGGCTATCACGCGGCGCATGTTTGAAGTGAATACGCTATCGCACTACTGGCTTGCGCAGGAATTTCTGCCGGATATGATTGCGCATGATCATGGGATGGTTGTGACGGTTGCGTCGCAGGCGGGGTATACGACGACGCCGAATATGGTGGATTACTCTGCTTCGAAGGCCGGGGCGATTTCGTTCCACGAGGGTCTTGCGGCGGAATTGGTTACGAGGTATGAGGCGCCGAGGGTGCGGACTGTGCTAGTTACGCAGGGGTTTACGAGGACGCCGCTTATTGGGGTGTTGACGCCGGAGAATACGTGGTTTAATCCGTTGCTTGAGCCGGAGACAGTGGCTGGGGGCATTGTGAGGCAGGTTCTTAGTGGGGAAAGTGGGAGTGTGGTTGTTCCTGGGTCGGCGGGTTATTTATGTCATCGTCTTCGGGGGTATCCACTGTGGCTTCAGCATGGATTGCGGTGTCGATTGGAGAGGTTGGTGAGGGCTGGTAGTGGTACTACCTAGGTAGGTACCTAGGTAGTAACTTGAAGTACTAGTAATTGTGAATATGTCTTTAATTTCAAAGTGTACCTAGGTACTGCTCCAACTTGAAGTCCTAAGGTTCACCTTTCTGGAATCTTGGGGTTTTGAAGTTGGCGTAACTCGATGTATATAATGGGCCATGTATATATTACCTAGGTAGCCCTGGACTCTGTATCTGTATCCACCACCACTCACTGTAACACAACAACCTTGAAGGTTCCTTTACTCTTTATATAGACATGAGTACAGGTAAACATAACAATTTAGCAGTACTGAGTATTAATTAATACTGTAACACCACCATACTGTACTACTATACAGTATACGAGAATACTGTAACTACTGTATGCACTGCTCTGTTGTCAGTGGCACGTGCACTTTTCCTCACCGCGATTTGATTCGCTCCACTCGTTCGCTTCAGCTCGACTCTCACTTCTTCCAAGGTTTGCCATCTGCATTCCTGCCATCTGCATTCTTCAGGATCTGGCCTCGGACTCTGCACAATTCGGTGACTGCATTACTAGTATCCAAGTTGGCTGGAGCTGACTTTACTCCTGTACTCTGGAGATACATCCTGTGGTTCCCCCGATCTCACCCATCTCACCAGTGGGTTCGCCAGTCCCGCTTGGGCCGAAGATCCACGGTTCAGCTCCGTTGTTTACTCCCCCCAAACAAACCATAACAACCTCCGCCTTTTACTTTCACCTTGAATCGACCTACACCTTCAACCTACACCTCCAACCATCGACATTCCATTCAATCCCCCCCCCCTCACATTCCCCCACATGGTGTCTCTCTCTCCCCCTAATTAATTGCCCACCATGTTTAAAGCCCTCATGGGCGGGGGCAACCGGTCGTCCTCCGACGTCCGAAGCACCACCAGCTCCAGCTCCAGATCCAGCCGTCGCAAGACCGATTCCAAGTCCACACATAGCCGCAAATCCTCACGGGGTGACGACCGTGATCGCGGCTTGGGTGACTTGGTTGTCTATGAGCCCTCTGCCTCGGGGAGCCGCCGTGCTCCAAGCACCGCTGGTGATTCTGTCGCTTCCTTCGTAACCGCCGAACCAGAGTCCTACGATTCCCCCGATCGCATCATCGAGCGCACCCCCAAACGCAGAGACAGTGATCGAGAGAGCAAGAGCTCTCGTCGCCGCGACCGCGACCGATCTGAGAGTCGCGACCGTGACCGTGAGCGTGAAAAGAGAAAAAGCCGCCGTGCGATCGATGACGAGTTGGATCGCGAGGACCGCCGTGAGCGCCGGCGCACACACTCCGGAGATCCCTATATGCCATCTAGTGCCCCCGGCGCTCAGTTTGCCGCCGATGTGGCAGCGCCTGGCTTTTCGCAATTTCCCGGCCAATACGACAGTGGAATGCCGCCGGCGGCCTTCTCTCCCGCCCACGAATCTACTCCATCGCCGTATGACCCTCATGTACAACAGCAATTCCCTGGCCAATTCCCCACCGGCACTGCACAGCCATATATGCCCCCAAATCCCGCCGGTGCAGCCGCAGATTATTATGGCGACCAGGGTCAGTCCGTCGAGCAGCAACCTGGCATCCGGCCGCCTGATCCTCTGGTAATCCCCGCCCACCAAGCACACTTGCAAGCCGCGTCTCCTACTTCCAACCCCCCGCCAGAGCCTAGCAGTGTCGGTGCAGTTGGTGCGGCCGCCTCTTATTTCGATGACGAGGGTCCCGTCGTGTCTCAAGGCGTTCCTTCAAAACCCTCGAAACCCTCCAAACCGAGCAAGCCTTCTGCCAGCGCGGTCCCCGCAGCAGCGCTAGCAGCCACCGCGGGAGCTGCGACCTACGGATTGGGACATACCTCCTCATCTTACGAAGATACCCAGTCCCAGCATTCCACCTCTGCCTATCATCAATCAACTTCGTACTCGCAGCCGGCTGCCACTAGTACCAGCAAGCCGCCAAAGCCTTCTACATATGGTATTGGCCCTGGAGTTGGAGTCGCAGCAGCAGGCGCAGCGGCAGGATATATGCTCGGCCATCAGCATCACTCTTCAAGCCCAGAGAGCGCGTCTCAATATGCTCATCAGCATCAGCATCAGCATCAGCATCAAAATCAGTACCAGCACTACGAGGAATCCTCACAGACTGGTCTGCCCCCGTATGCTTCCGGCTCTCATAATGCCATGATGGCAACGGGAGCTGCAGGCGCAGCAGCTTATGCTGCTCAGGCTGGTCATTCTCATTCTCATTCGCACCCAATCGCATACCGCCCTGGATACTATCCCTACGCCCCGGGTGGTCTTGCCTATCAGCAGCGCCAGCGGGGTCCTCTTTCAAAGTTTGTGGACTTCTGGCGCGATCCGGAAGCTGTGGGACGGTTCGAAGATTACACCGAAACCATCGGCGTGTGCAAGTACTGCTTTGATCCTCATACTAGTTCAGTTGATGCGCCGCGCAAACATCACTATGATCGGCGTCGACGCTCTGCCGATCGCTACAGCACCAGCAGTTCTTCCCGAGTGAGCAAACTCAGTCGATACCATTCTTCGGAAGATGAAAGCCGGCGCAAGCGATCGAGCAAGAAGTCGTCCTCGTGGTTGCCGGGCATGCTGGCTGGTTATGCCACAAAGTCAATCTTTGCTGGAAAGGATTTTGACGACTCCTATAGTGTTCGCTCTGGGCGTATGGATGGCGACCGTGTCTCCCACGATCGTGATGATGTCTCAAACTCCGACCGCAGAAGCTATACTTCACGTGGTGTTGTCCGCCGGTCCGAACGCAGCCCACAGCGAGAGTACCACTCAGACAGCAAGCATTCTCGGAGGACCCGTTCTCGTTCGCGATCTTCCTCCCGATCTGGCCGTCATTCGTTTGTCAAGAAGGCTGCCTTAGGTGCCGCTGTCGGTGGTGCCGCTCTCGCTGTCGCGAAACACCACAACCGAAGCCGCAGCCGCTCTCCCTCGCGCACTCAACGTCGCAAGGAATCTTCTTCCGACTCTTCCTTTGTTGACTTTTCTCGACCGGCTCCCAAGTCTGTTGGAGGGTTCACTTCTTTCTTCACATCCAGTTCTGAAAATCGCGCGATAAATCGAGAGGTGAAGAAGACTAGTAAGAAGAAGAAGACCAAGCGCGGGTTTTTCTCGTTTAATAGTTCCTCGTCTTCCGATCTTGATGCCGACCTCGCTTTCGGAACTGGATTTTCGAAGAAGTCCAAGTCGAAGAAGGAGAAGAAGAAGGGCAAGAAGAATGAAGACGTCAACGCAGCACTTCTTGGTTTGGGTGCTACCGCCACTGCTCTTGCTGCTTCATCTCCGAATCGTCGCAGTACCGGTCAAATGCTAGCCGGCAGAGAATCTCGCTCTCGTCAGTCCCGGTACACTTCGTCTGCAAACGAGGATGAAGAGTGGATCGACGCCGATTCATCTGAAGACTCCCCATCGAGCGTTAGTTCTGCCCTGGCTTTCGGTGGTGATTCTCATTCCGATTCTAGTAGCAGTCGCGGAGGCTGGGGCTGGAGATGGGGAAGCAAGAAAGACAAGAAAAAGAAGGAGAAGAAATCTGCCGCCAATGCTGCTATGGCTGTTGGTGCTGGTGTTCTCGGTAGTGCCGCTATTGCTTCTGTTGCCCACCAACGCGATAGTCGTCCATCTAGCCAGGCGGGTAGCCTGCAGCAGGTTTATCCTATGCCCACCTCCGATCCTTCTCGCTTCGACGTTGCCAGCATGTCTCCCTCTGTTGTCTCTGGTGGTCAAACTCCTCTCGTCCGTCCTGGGCCGATCCCTCTTCAGCAGCCACAGCCTGTAACGCCAGTCTCTCAAGCCATTTACACCTCTCAAGGTACCGTACCAGGCTCTATTCCCGCTTACAGCGCACCTGTTGTTCCTCCTATCTTTGCCAATGAACATGATCAGTATGATCCTCGATTCCAAGGCTCTCGGGATGCTGCCTGGAGTCGGGAAAGTGTCGATATTCGCAAACCCCGCCGAAGTGACTCCTCTCCGGTTTTCCCTACCCAAGAGACTGCATCGAGTCTCAAGCGCCGCTCTACGACTAAAGATCAAGCCTCTGTTTCATTCAACCTGACCGACGAGCAGGCAGAGCGCGAACGCCGTCTCAGCCGCCGTGACCAGAGATCACACGAAGATTTCCACGACGACCATTCCGTTCAGTTGGTCGACCACGAAGAGGAGGAAGCTCGGCGAGAGGCAGACCGTCGCGAGCGTCGTCGCAAGGACCGAGAGGAGGAAGAGCGCCGCGAGAGTGAAAAGCACAAGAGCTCTTCCTCTTGGGCCGAAGCAGCTGCCGTTGGAGCTATTGGCGCTGTTGCGGTCGGTGCCCTTGCCTCGTCTCATAAGTCTGACAACGCCTCGGAAGTTAGTTCTCAACGCGTTTCCCGTAGTGAGAAGCGCCGAGCTGAAAGAAGACAGCGAGGAGAGGCTGAATCGTCGATTGTTTCGAGATCTGATATCACAGAGCCAGTCGAGAGGGTATCATCAGTGGAAACCCGTGATGTGCCAGACAAGCGCTCATCTCGAAAGACCGCTTCTCCATCCCCTGTCTATGAAAACTACGCCAATTTCTACGCCCCTTCTGAAATTCGTCACAGTGCAGATGAACAGAAGACTCGGGATGTTGCTGAGCAGCCTTCGATCGTCGAAGTCGTCCCTGCTTCTGTCCGCAAGGCCCGCGGAGAATTACGCGATGAAGACATGTCACGATTCGGACAAGAACCTTATGAAAATCACGAAGGTCTGCCGTGGCCGGTTCCACGACTTAATTACATCGATCCCACCCCCCCCCTGTTAGCCTGAATGGATCTGCCCTGGGCATGTCGGCCCCTACCTCCGCAGCGCGAGCCCCCGAAACCGAACAACTCGTCGAGTACGTCGAGCCCGAAGAGCATGTTGAGCATGCCGAACATGTTGACACTCCCGAGCCTGTTGCGCGCAAGCAGCGTGAGCGTCCATCAACCGGTTCTCGTGTTTCCTGGGGTGAGCACTCGACCCACGAGTATGAAGTGCCTTCTTCCTCCGAGCAAGATCCACTTGAGCACCATGATATCTCCCCCATGGAAGACAACACCAGAGACTTCGCTCTGCGTGACCTGGAGCAACCCAAGTCCAAGTCCAACGATGTCACCTCCAAGTCCGGCTACGGTGATGACATTGAATTCGCTGCCATAGTTGCCGCTGGCACTGAAGCGGCTGGATTTGACCCTTCCTTCGTTCTTGACGACCCTAAATATCACACCCGTACTTCCCCACCCGGCTCAGGCGATGAAGGGACCTTCTCTCCGCGGTCAAACTGGGCTACTCAAACCCCCGACCGCCACGGCTTCGTCGAGGGTGAAGTCGGCAGCTATGAACACCAGTCCAGAGATATCGGCCCCACTGCTCCGGAACCTGCCTACGAGCCATTCTCCGCTAAAGCCGAGGGTATTTCTTCACCAACTCGTGAGCGCAGCTCAATTGCCCAGGAGGTGATCGAGCAATTGAACGGCAAGCAGTCTCGACACGAATCTTTCGAGGATCGTGATGTTTTCTCTATGCCTGGTGGATTCGGCGACGATGAGCCTCGCGATGACGAACCTCGTGATGATTCATACTCTGCTGTTTCTGCCCCTGTTTCCAAGGAGGACAAGAAGAAGTCGAAATCCAAGAAGTCTCCTCGTAGCGGCGATGACATCGATTTCTCTCGTGAGCTGCCTCGCGATGTTCAGCCTTTCGCAGAAGAGACTCCTGCTGAAGCTCCCCGAGACGTCGAGGTTCCGTATGATACCTACTCAGCAGTTTCTGCTCCTGTTGGAAAGAAGGACGAGAAGAAGAAATCCAAGAAGTCCCGTCGTAGCGGCGATGATGTTGATTTCTCTCGTGACGTGCCTCGCGATGTTCAGCCTTTCCCGGAGCAGACTACTGTTGATGCCTCCCGAGATGTCGAGGTTCCATATGATGCCTACTCGGCTGTGTCTGTACCGGTCGGAAAGGACTATGAGAAGGCCAAATCAAAGAAGTCTCGTCGTAGTGGCGATGATTTCGATCTTTCTCGTGATGCGCCTCGCGACGTCCAGCCCTTTGATGATGTTCACGCTGATGCCTCCCGAGATGTCGAGGTTCCATATGATGCCTACTCGGCTGTGTCTGTACCGGTCGGAAAGGACTATGAGAAGGCCAAATCAAAGAAGTCTCGTCGCAGTGGCGATGATTTCGATCTTTCTCGTGATACGCCTCGCGACGTCGAACCCTATACCGAGGCTCCCACTGTTGATTCTCCTCGGGATGTTTTTGACGACCGATATGATTCGCGCTCGGCTGTCTCTGCTCCTCTTGAGAGAGACTCTGAGAAATCCTCCAAGTCAAAGAAGTCCCGCCGCAGCGATGATGATTTTGACCTGCCTCGTGAACTGCCCGTTGATCTCACACGCGAAAATGTCTCTCCTCCTGAAGAAGATGAAGGTAGTGATGAGAAGAAGAAACGGCGTAAGCATCGCTCCAAGCGTGATAGCGACACTTTCTCCGTTGATGACGATGCTCGATCTGCCGTGACTTCCTATGAGGATGCGGACAAGTCTGAACGCCGCAAACATCGCCATCGTTCTTCTGGCCTTCGTGACTTCGATGACAATGCGTCAATCACCTCGTCCCCGCAATCATTGACGAGACACGCGAGAAGCGCCGCAGCAAGGACAAGGATGAGAAGCGATCGAAGCGTGAGAGCGACGCTTTCTCCGTGGACGATGATGCCCGGTCTGTTGTGACTGCTTATGAAGATGGTGAGAAGTCTGAGCGTCGCAAGCACCACCGCCGCCATCGCTCCTCTGGTCATGACTTTGATGACAATGCTTCCGCCACATCTTCTCCCGCACGCATTGATGAAACACGAGAGAAGCGTCGGAGCACTAGCAAAGATGACAAGGAAAAAAGCCCTGCAGGGTTCCTGCGAAACCTCTTCGGTTCACGCGTCTCGGCACCTGCTGATGACAGAAATCGCTCTACATCCTCTCTAGACAAGCATTCGTCTCGGGAGGCAATTTCAGAGGCTGGCGTTGACGACGAACGGCGCCGCCACAAGAAGCGCTCTTCCAAGTCACGAAGCTCCAGCCGTGGATCGAAGCGGGGTGATTTTGATTCGGACAAGGATGCAGAGCTCCGGGATGGTACCAATCTGGAAGAGTATCGATCACGTCGGCAAGAGAAGGAAGAGCGCCGTCGCCATCGGTACGAGGAGATTGTCGAGTCTGGGAAACGAAGGGATAATGAGAAGGTATAGCATCTGAAATTTTCTTTTCTTTTTCTTGTTGACATGTTTGAATTTGATTCTTGTACACTTTTATGTGCCATATCTAGTTGCCCCTGTTGTTGGGTTGGTTTTGGTGGCCTTCCCCAATGCATATGATGACCATGTTTCCCCCCGAAAACTTGAAGCAAAACTCAAAAAACAACGAATATTATGCTAAGCATTTCTTTTGGTATTATTCCATGTGCAGGACGGAAAGCTTTCCGATTTTAATGACGCCCGCGACGACTCTTTTTTAGGGGAGCGCCCCGAAATGCCAGCCGCCGCTGAGCGCGATGAACGTGGTGCTTCGGGGCTTGAATCGTTTGCAAAGGGAGCAGCCCTCTCAGCAGCTGGTCTAGCGCTGGGTGATACCCTCTTGCACCAACGACCTCGCAGCCGCTCGACATCCCCTCCAGCCGCAGACAAAACCGCCCTCGACTTGGCCCCGAAGTCCCAGAGTAGACCCTCCTCCCCAGAAGCCACGCGAAATGCAGCAGCAGGAGACGACATCACTCGAGGCCGCAGCCACTCCACTGCACGATCCATTACCGAGTCGCCCACAGCAGTGCCCCTGCACTTCCGTCGTCCACCGCTATCCCCGGGCCTCTCGCGTGCCGTGCCAGTCGCAGTCCCAACGACAGAATCACCGCCCCCAGCCGCACCCTCACCAGGATCGCCCACACAGCGCCATCGCCGCCTAAACTCCGTCGAATTCCGCAACTCGCGTGAGATCCGTCCTCTATGGCTCGTCGAGCGCCACGGCTCAAGTAAAGCCGAACCAGAAGTAGACGAGGCCCTCCCCTCCCTCCCCTCCAGCAAAACTACATCCCGCGCCCCATCCGTCGAAGACCTCCGCGCCCTGAACGAGGACGATGGCGTCCGCAGCTGGGAAAATGTCGACCTGAGCCACGCCATTATGGAGAATCGTCGACCTGGTCTGACCATCTCCACTGACCACGAGCAGCATGGCCGAGGAGACGTAGATACGGAGCGAGACCTCGACGTGCTTGATTCCCAGCAGGCAACGCCGACGGCGGAGGATTTCGTGCACGGTACTGACTCGGCGAAGAAGGAGAAATTGAAGTATGAATTCCATTCTCCGTCGGAATTGTTGCAGGATCCCAGTTCGTTTCCGGAGATCTCTTCGCCGACGGAAAAATTGCCGTCGGCTGAGGGCTCGATGGTTGGTGGTAGGGGTGATGATGAGGCTGTCGATGCTGGTGAGAAATCTCGTGATCTTGGTCTCGATCAACATCGTGTTGATGGGGATGTGGATGATCACGACCTTGGAGAACCGGGTACTGCTGTTGAGGAACATGGCCCTCAAATATTCGGTCCTGAAGAGACTGCCGTGGAAAGCGTGGCTAAAGATATCGTTCCTGAGGCTGCGGAGCTAGAGCAACCCGTCGACCCAGTTCAGGAGCAACCTGCTGCTACAGAGGAGTCGGTTGCAGAGGAGCCAGTGACTGCGTCTTCTTCGAAGAAGAAAAAGAAGAAGAATAAGAAGGGGAAGAAGGATCAGGCGAGTGATAGTGTTGATTTGCCTTCTGAGTCTGTTCCGGTTGTTGAGGGACAGGATCCTGTTCTTGAGGCTGAGGATCAATCTCGTTCTGTTGAGCATGAAGAGGCTCCTGCTCCTGTTGAAGAGGTTGCTGCTCCTGTCGAAGAGATTTCCTTTTCCGCGCCTGTCGAAGAAGTCTCTGCCCCTGTTGAGGAGACTTTTGCTCCTGCCATACCCAAGCCAGAGGCTGAGCCAGTTGAGGTCTCTAGGGAAATTGAGGCTGAGCCTGTTCCCACAATCACTGAGCCTGTTGACTCCGCTGCCACTGAGTCTACACGAGAGATCGATATCTCTTCTGTCAAGCCCGCGGAGGCTGTCCTCGAAGAGCCCGTCGTTGAGGCTGAGCCCGAGCCTGAAGTCCCCATGACCGCGGCACAAAAGAAGAAGGCCAAGAAGGACAAGAAAAAGAAGGCAAAGGGTGGCTCCATTGCAGAGCAGGCAGAAGCTACAGTCCCGGATATTGCTCCTGAACAATCTCCTGAGCAGGCCCAAGACCAAAAGGAACCCATTCTTGAACCTGTCCCGGAGTCTGCCCCCGCTATTGAGACCGAGTCTACGGAGAAGGAAATCCCTCAAGATATCAACATCCCTGAGACTCCAGCTGCCGCCGAAGAAATACCCTCTGACACCCAAGAGACTCGTGAAATTGTCGAATCTGCTGAATTGGCTATTACTGAGAGCCTTGGGCACGATGTTCCCAGTGTCACTGAGCAGCCGGAGCCAGCCGCGGAGGATGCCGAGAAGTCTACTGAAGGTCCTTTGTCTGAAACTCGTGAACTCGAAGAGTCGGAGCCCGTGTTCTCCGAGGCACAAGAATCAACCACGCCCGAGCAAAATATCGATACTGCTTCAGTTCCCGTTGAGTCGACAGACAAGACTGCCGAATCAGATGAAGACATGTTCCACGAGACTGTCCAGGAGCAGCCTGACGTTCCCGCGGAGATCAAGGATATTCCCTTCGACCAGCCAATTGAAGAGCAGCCCACAGTTTCAGCAGAGCAACCCGAGGAGTCTAAGCCCGAAGAAGCAGTGGAAGAAGCAGGGTCAAAGAAGAAGAATAAAAAGAAGAAGAAGAAGAACAAGTCTGCTGCTGAAGAGACGGATGTTCCTTCTGAATCTAAGCCTGCTGATCCCGCTGAACAGGAGCAGATTGCTGAAGATGTCAAGCCTGAGCAACCTGCTTCCGGTGAACTTCATGATTCCCAGGACGTTGCAGCTGGTGTTGATGTACAACCTGAGCTTGAACCTGAACAGCTTAGCAAGGAAATTATTGAGCCTTCTTTGGAGGAGTCTCCTGCTGTTCAGGAGCCCGAATCTGTCCCTGCTGATGTCGAGCCCACTCCTGAGTCCATCGATCCTGCTGGACCTACTTTCGAATCTATTTCGCCTGCCGCCGAGCCTATCGAAACTGTTCCTGAGCCAACTGAGGTTGTCTCAGAGCCTCAGCCCACTGAGGAGACTCGCGAACTTCCAGCCGAGCCTGCTTCTGAAATTGCTCCTGACGCTGAAGCTGAGGCTGAGGGTGAATCTGAAGTTCCTATGACCGCTGCGCAGAAGAAGAAGGCCAAGAAAGACAAGAAAAAGAAGGCCAAGCAGAGTGTTTCTTCTATTCCCGAGGAAGAGAAACCTGCTGATGCCCAGCCTGAGTCTCAACCAGCCGAGTCTGAGCCTGTTCAATCCACAGAACCCCTTGAGCCTGCGGAGTCTTCTGAGCCTGTCGAGTCTGTTCTGCCAGTTGAATCTACCCAGCCAGTCGAAGCAACTCCGATTGTGCAGGATTCCCCTCCTGTTGAAGCTTCAACCGAAGACATTGCCAAAGAAATCGATGTTGCCCCTGACGCAGTTGTAGAGGAACTCGCAGCTGCTGAAGAAACACAACGCGATTTGGTCGAGCCGGAGCAGCCAAAGGAAATCGAACAGGAAGTCTCTGCCCCTGCCGAGAAGACCAATGTTGACGTTCTTGGTGATGTTGGGGATGCTGAACCCGCCCAAGAGCAGCCCGTTGAGCAAGAACCCTCTGGCGCGCTTGAGGTGGAGGTCCCTATGACAGCAGCTGAAAGGAAAAAGGCCAAGAAGGCAAAGAAGAAGCAGCAGAAAGAACAAGAAAACATTGAGGTGGTCGCCGACGACGCACAAGCCGCTGAGACTGTGCCTGCTCCTGAGCCTGAGGCTGAAGCAGCCAAGGAAGCAGAGGCCGCCACCGACGCTGAAATTCCTGCCGCCGAAGACTTTGCCATACCCGCTGCTGCTGTCGAGGCCGAGGAGACTAGCAGAGATATCCAGCCCGAAACCGAAACTCCCGCTGAGGGGACCGTTGCTGATACTCCTGCCCCCTCTGAAGATGCCCCAGCCTTCGTTGAAACTCAGGAGGAAGAGAAGAAAGACGAGACTCTTCAAACCGATCTACCTAAGGAAGATGACTCCGTCAATGTTTCCGCCGAGCCGCTTCCCGAAGTCCTAGAGACAAAGGCAGAGGCACCCGAAGAAGAGGCTCAAGCCCCTACAACTGAAGCTGAGCCCGAAGTGCCTTTGACAGCTGCCCAAAAGAAGAAGGCCAAGAAGGACAAGAAAAAGAAGCGTCAGTCTGTGGTTGAAGAGGAATCTGTACCTGAGACAGATCCTACTCCTGCCGAAAAGGAGACCGAGCCAACCACAGAAGCACCCGACGAGGATGTCCCTGTCACTTCTGAAGAGATCGCGCCTGAAGCTGTCGCAGAATCAACTGAGCAACAAGTTGAAGCTCCTATCGAGCCTCCTGCGGATGATGCTGCTCCTGCCAGTGATCCTGTCCTTGAAGACGCAACTGCAGATCCTACAGTGACCGATTTCGCCAGCCCGGATGTTCCTACCGAAAAAATACCTGTCTTGGAGAAGTCTCTTGATGATAGACCCCAGGATGAACAGGCTATCGCCGAGCCTTCTCCTGAAGAGACTCCTAAGGCCGAGGAAAATGTTTCGGAGGAACCACCTGTCGAGAGTGCCCCTGTTGAGGACTCTGAGCAGGCTTCTTCTAAATCAAAGAAAAAGAAGAAGAAGAATAAGAAGAATCAGTCTGTTTCTGGAGATGCCACGCCTGATGTTCAGCCTGAGCCTGTTAAGGAGGAGTCTGCTGAGCCTACTGTTGAGCCCACTGCTGAGCCCACTGCTGAGCCCACTGCTGAGCCCACTGCTGAGCCCACTGCTGAGCCCACTGCTGAAACTTCCTCTGAATCTGTCATCGAGCCTGCTTCTGAGCCCATTGGTGAAGCTTCTAACCTTGAGCCTGTTGCCGTCGACTCCATTGTGCCCGAAGAACAAATCGAAGTGTCTGAGCCACCTGTGTTGAGTGAAATTGTGGAAGTTCCCCCCGCAACTGAAGATGAACCCAACACGGAAGAGCCCGCTCGTGATGAGGCTCCCAAAGATTCTCCTATTGCCGAGCAAGAAAGCGCCGAGGCTGAGCCAGAGGTCCCCATGACTGCAGCACAAAAGAAGAAGGCGAAGAAAGACAAAAAGAAGAACCGCAAGTCTGTGGCCTTTGACGAGTCACCGGCTTCCCCATCCGAGGCCCTAGCAGAAGAGACTTCCCCTGCCCCTCCTGCAGATGTGGAATCCAGCAATGCACCTGCCGACGATGGTGCAAGCCAAGATGTCACCCAGCCATCTTCGGATTCTCTACTTGCCGATGTTCCAGCAGACAGGGATATCCCGAGCCCCGAGGAGCCAGCTGTCGATCAACCTGAAGTTACCCAGGAGATCTCTGAGCCCGTGGTCGAGAACGCTGAGAACACAGAGATAGTTGCACCGGAGCCGCCTCTGGAGACTTCCGAAGATCCATCGACCACTGTCCAAACCGACGGCCAATCTGAGCCATCGCCAGAAAGCCAAGTCCCTTCCGATGACAAGCCCGCTGAAAGCGAAGAGCCGGCTAAGCCAATTGCTGATGCTACATTGACTGCCGCCGAGCGTCGCAAGCTTAAGAAGAAGGAGAAAAAAAGAAGGGCAAGTCGGTCGACTTGACTGAAGAAGAACCTTCAACTCCTTCCACTCCCGTCGAGGCAACCCAAGAGCCCGAGGCCACTGTTGAATCTCAGACAGAAGCTCCCAAGGACATCGATCTAGATGCTCCCCAAGAAGAGCAGGCTTCTGTCGCCGCCCCTGAGAATGTGGAAGCACCAAAGGTCGAGAAACCAGAGAGAAAACGAACTGGAGGATAAAGCTGATGCCCCTACGACAACACAGCCCGAGGAGCCTGAAACGACAATTGCCGAAACCGAGAAGCCAACCAACGAGGAGGCTGCACCTCCTATCGAGGAACCCACCGAGCCAGAGGTCACCCCTTCAACAGAGGCACCAGCACAGCCAGACTTCGCTTCTCCCGAAATCGAGGCTGGCATGTCAGCCAAGGAGAAGCGCAAAGCAAAGAAGGATAAGAAGAAGCGCCAGTCCAAGAACCTCGAAGTCGACAACGCCACGACCGATGATACCGCCGTCCCCGCCGATGACAAAACCGTCCCTCCCGAGGACACATGGGATTCTTCTATACCCGTGACGGCAACCTCGCCTGCGGAGCATGACGGTAAAGACCATCAGTCCCACGACATAGAAACGCCCGACGCCCCGGCAAATGATTTAGCTCCGACTGATGAATTCGTGTTTACGCAGGTAGAGCAGCCAGAGATAGAGAGTCGTTCGTCAGATTATCCTCCCCAGCCCGTGCTTGAGCGTTCGATGAGTTTTAGCGAGTCGGCGGAGCGAGATGTGCAGCAAGAGGGGAGGCTCCAGCCACCGAAGACGCCGAGGCATCGAATGTGGCCGAAGACCAAGTTATTGATGAAGTGGAGAAGGAGGATACAGAGAAGCAGGATCAGGTTGTTGATGAAATTGTTGCTGATATTGTGCCTGTGGAAGAGGAGACTACAGCAGAGGAGGTTGTTGAGCCTGTGATCGTGGAAGAAGAGTCCACGACAAAGGAGGAAGATGTTACTGAAAAGGCTATCGTCGAGGAACCTCCTGTCAAGGAGTCTACTGAGACCGCGCCGGAAGCCAGTGCCCCCGCCGAACAAGAGCTGCCTGTAGAGGAACCTCTCCAGCCAGCATTGTCCAAGAAAGATAAGAAAAAGAATAAAAAGAAGAAGAAGCAGCAGCAGGGGGAGGTGGAAAGTGAAGAAACCCCTGTTGCAGAGCCCGAGAAAGTGCTCGAAGAGAAGACCGAACACACGGAAGCCGAGCCCGCCATCGTCGAAGAAACCCAGGACAAGTCGATCCCTGAGCCTGAGGTCGAACCAATTACAGAGCAGGAGGAGTCTATGGCCGTGGAAGAGCCTGCGCAGTCGACAGAAGAAGTGGTTGAGCCTTCTGCACCTCAGCCACTCCAAGAGGTGGAATCTCCCACGGAGGTCAAACCAGCTGAAGAAGAGCCTGCTCCTGCTCCTGAGCCTGAGGCGGTGGAAGAAACACCAATGCCAAAGAAAATGAGCAAGAAAGAGAAGAAGAAGGCTGCCGCCGCTGCTGCTGCTGCCGCCGCCGCAGAGGAGGAAAAGACCGCGGAGGAAGTCTTGCCCGAGGCAGTTGAAGAGCCTGCTGCTATTACGCAAGATATCGATGTTCCCGCCACTACTCAACAAGAAGAACAATCCCCTCTCGATACGATTAAGCCTGAGTCCCAGCCTTCCGACTTAACCGCTGATGTGCCAAAGGATATCGACGAGCCTCTGGTCGAGGAACGGCCGCCTGCTATCGAAGAAGCTGGCGAAGAGCAGCCTGCTACTGAGGTGTCCTCCACCGAGACTAACACTGAGGAGCCCGAACCTGCCCTTGATTCGACCATGGACGATGCGGTCGATGCTCCCTCCACAAATCTTCCTGTTGACGAGACGCCTGTCGAAGAGACTCCTGTCGAACAGACCCCGGTTGAAGAGACACCTGTTGGAGAGACTCCGGTTGAAGAGACTCCGGTTAAAGAGACTCTTGTTGAAGAGACTCCCGTTCAAGAGACTCCCGTTGAAGAGACTCCCAGTGGAGAAACTCCTATCGAACCGGTAGTGGAGCCTGAGACAGAGTGGCCAACAGCAACGAAGAAAATGAGCAAGAAGGAGAAGAAGAAGGCTGCTGCTGCTGCCGCTGCCGCCGCCGCCGCCCTTGAAAGTGAACAGTCTGTCGAGCCCAAGCCAGAGCCCACCGTGGATGAACCATCCGCGCCCTCTGAAGAAGCACTCGATGTTTCAAGAGAAGTGACCGCTCTGGAAGACAATCAACCCGAAGTTGAGCAGCAGGTTGAATCCCCATCAGTGGAGTCGACCGAAAAGGAAGTCATCGAGCCGCCGACACAGGAGACAGATGAGACTGCCGAACCAATTGTCGAAGAGCCTGAGCAGCCTGAAGCACAAGCCAATACTTCCGAGAAGGAAGTACAGTCTGAGCTTGCAATAGAAGAACCATCCGCTGAACCTATCACTCGCAAGTTGTCAAAGAAGGACAAGAAGAAGGCCAAGAAGCTGGCAAAGGCAGAGCCTTCCGATTTGGCTGCCACTCCCACTGAGGAGCTCCCAAAGGAAGATGCACCCGCAGGTGCTGTTAATGAAGATGTCTCCGCAAACTTTGCAGAGACTAGCATCGAAATGGCTCCCGAGGTCGTTCCAGACTCAGAGCTTGTCCGCGAGCTACAGATTGCGGTGACACCTGAGGTCCAACCCGAGCAACATGACATCCCCGCTGCCATTGAGCCAGAGAACCTAGAGGTCTCCGAGCAAGCCGAAGATAAGGATGAAGAACTTCCTGTCGAGCAAATTGATGAAACTACGATCCATCAAACCCCTTCTCCCGAAGAGCAAGAACAGAAAAAAGAGGAGGAAGAGACCAAGTTCCAAAGCCAGGCTCTTGAGAAGGCAGCAGACCTCGAAGTGGCTGGGCTCGAAGACCGACTACCAGAGCCAGAATCCGCCGCTCCTCTTTCTAAGAAGCTCTCCAAAAAGGAAAAGCGCAAGTCCAAGAAGAATGAAGCAGTCGAAGAACCGGTTGAAGAAAGCCAAGAGCAATCTATCTCAGAGGTACCCTTTACCGAGTCGAAAGAAGAAGAATTGCCTACAACTATGCCTACGCCTTTACCCGAAGTCGAGCCTACAGTTGAGCCGGAGCCGGAGCTTCAAAATGAACCACAACTTGAATCCGAGTCAACGAGGGAGATCCAGTCTGAGCCAGAGGTGTCCAAGGAGATCGAGCCTGCAATCGAAACTCCTGCTGCTGAGACAGAGACTGCCGCAGAGGCCACCCTAGTCGAGTCAGTCGAGCCAGTCACAGAAACACCACTCTCAAGCAAGGCTTCAAAGAAGAAATCAAAGAAGGCCAAGAAAGCAGCCCAAGCGTTAGAGGAAGCATCTCCCGTCAAGATCACCGAAGAATATTCTGCCGCCACTCCAGCCCAGGAAGAATCTAGCCGCGACCTTGAGCTTTCCGAATCGACTCCTCAAGAGAAGAAACCCGGTGATGACGAATTCCCCACGATCGAGTGGGAACATGGCCACTCTCCCAAGCCCGAGACATTCGAGGCACAGTCACCCGAGTTCCACGTCAAGATCCCTGAACCGGTCCCCCAGACTATCGAGGAGTATGATGAGTCTGCAATCCCTGTCGCTCTGCAAGAGGCCAAGGAGCAGTCCCAAGAGGCGACCGAGGAAGAAGCCTGGGCTGCCCCATTGAGCAAAAAGGACAAGAAAAAAGCTAAGAAAAACAAGAGAAAGTCCGAACAAGCAAGCCTTGCTGAGCCTGAGGCGGAAGAGCCCCTGCACAAGAGAGTCGAACTGGCAACTGAATTCCCCGAGCCACCGCTTGACACTGTGATCTCCAAAGAGATCGAAACGCAACCACCTGCGAGAACTACGACTCCCGGTGGCTCCAAGATTGCTAATCTCTTTCCTGGCCTCGAGCGAGGCGGGTTTAAACGATCGGCTCTGGACAACAAGACCCCGTCGCTAAAAGATAGTGCTGAGGAAGAGACTGAAGTGGACATGGAAGCGAATCGCGATATCGTGATCCCCGTCTCGGAAGCACCCCAAGCGACCCTCGAATCCAGAGAGATTACTGAGAGCAGTCGTGAACTGCCCATTCCCGATGAAAAAGCACTGGTCGAAGAGCCAGAGCCAGAGCCAGAGCTTCCAGTTCACGATGAGCGGCCCATGCAGTCTGCCTCTAAGGAGCGATCCTCACTGTTATTCGACTCGTCTCCATCTACACGTACGGAGGATGCATCTACACCCCGGCGTCTATTGCCATCTCAGATGGAAGTCCCCGATCTATCCCCTTCCCCCTCTGGATTACGCCGAACACCCTCAGTGATCCACGGGCGTCATCAGCAAACGCCACGAACATGGACCCTTGACGAGGAGTCTATCCCAGCTACCAGTGGCCCATCACCACCTCGTTCCCTCTTTGGAGGACCTTTTGGAGATCATGATACTCTATCGCGACCCCGGACTCCGCTCGATCCCATTGCGGAGCAAGAACCAGCGGATTGGGGGAAAGCGACCATGGCTCGCTCCGGGACGCCCCGTCTGGAGATCAAACCCGAGCATGTTCTTCCACGACCAGTGACTCCAGTGAGAAAATTCACTGACAATGCGATCGCACGCGAGAGGTGGCCCACGCCTGAAAATGAAGAGAAAATTCGCAGTCAGGACAGCCTTAAGAGTGGAAGTGGATCAGGATCAGGATCAGGCCTGTCACCATTAAAAACTCCGGAGCAGGGGATGCCAGTGCTCAAACCCAGTGGTAGCAAGGGGAAGCTTCGTCGCATGAATCGTAGCACGAGCAGCGATCTGCGGGCGGCTAGTCGGGCTTTAGACGAGGACGAGGACGAGTCAGAGTCTCAGCTGCAGTCCCAGCCCCAGTCATCCCAGCCTCCACCCAATCTCGATCTCGATCAACTTCCTTCTTCTTCATCCTACGACCCCGTCAATGACAAGGGCAAACGCCCCCTGCGAAACATGGATGTCTATGTAAGTTTTGGACTCTCACCCATTGTTTATGCAAATATTCCTTTGTTTGTTTACTGACTTGTGTAGGAGGGTTGGGGTGAAACACCCAGCTCCCCGCGGTCGCCCAGCCGACCGCCTAGCGTCCGTCGTCGCCGCAGCATGCAACACCTCCAGGACATGGAAACCCGTCTCGACCAACTTATCTCCGAGAATCGTTTACTCATTGCCTCTCGCGATGAAGCCGAAGATAAATTGCGCAATGCCAGCGTCTCTCGTCGCAAGAGCGACCGTGCCCTCAACATTAGCGGCGCCGACCTAAGGGATCGCGAAGCCGAGGTGGAACAACTCAAGAACTCGGTGGATTGGCTTCAGAAGGAGATGAGTCGCGTCACTCAGGAGAATGAGGGACTCGCTGCTTCCAATGCCGCCCTCGCTGCCGCCCACGCCGCCGAAGTCACTACCGTCCGCGAGTCATCCACGCGCGAATTGGATGACTTGCGATCGCAACACAATGCCCTTTCGTCCGAGATGAACGATCGAGTCCAACAAGAAATCGAGTCGGCCCTCGCTCAGAAAGATGCTGAGTTGCGACGTCTGCGAGAAGAGCTGGAAGAAGCTCGTGACAAAGTGAAGGAGCTGCAACAGCAGATCGCATCGTCAGTTAATGACAACGCCCTCGTCTTCCGCGACGAGGAGTACTTTGACGCTGCGTGCCAAAAGCTCTGCGGTCATGTGCAGCAGTGGGTGTTGCGCTTCTCCAAGCACTCTGATCACCGTCGCTGCCGCCGCCTGGTCGACATCTCCGATGAGAAGATTGCCGACCGGTTCGAAAATGCTTTCCTCGATGGTTCTGACGCCGATGCGTACCTGTCCGACCGTGTCCGTCGTCGCGATGTCTTCATGTCAGTGGTCATGACCATGGTCTGGGAGTACATCTTCACTCGCTACCTCTTCGGCATGGACCGTGAACAGCGTCAAAAACTCAAGTCTCTCGAAAAACAATTGGGCGAGGTTGGTCCACGACGCGCAGTTCATCGCTGGCGCGCCACCACCTTGACCCTTCTGTCACGGCGACCAGCCTTCGCCACACAGCGCCAGAGCGACACTGAAGCGGTCGCACTTGAGATCTTTGGCACTCTGTCGCGAATCCTTCCTCCGCCTTCTCAAAACGAGGCGCAACTCCTCGACTCCCTCCGCAAGGTCCTCCGTGTCGCCGTCAACCTCTCCCTGGAGATGCGCACCCAATTGGCAGAGTTCATCATGCTGCCCCCTCTCCAGCCAGAATATGACACTAATGGCGACCTTGCCCGTCAAGTCTTCTTCAACGCTGCGTTGATGAATGAGCGCAGCGGCGAAACCACCTCCAACGACGAACTCGAATCCTCCCAGGCTGTCGTCCGCATCGTGCTCTTCCCTCTTGTCGTCAAAAAGGGCAACGATGTCGGCGAAGGCGAGGAGGAAGTCGTCGTCTGCCCTGCTCAAGTTCTTATCGCTCGCCCCGGCAAAGACAAGAGAGTGTCTCGGATGATGAGTGGTGATCGCATGTCATTTGATGCATCCCGCTCCGTCCATAGTGTGGCACCATCCATGGCACCCTCGATGGCCCCGTCTACGATGGACATGAGCAATGTGATTTGAGGCGTCACACTCTTATCATGATTGCTCCTGCTCTGATCTGCAGCTATGTGGGCCATTGTCTTTCCATTTCTTCTTCTTCTTTTCTGCTTTTGGTGAACATGGCGGTTTTCTGGCGTCTGGCCTGTGGTCTCGGATATTCCCTCGCGCTGACGACCGATTGGAGTTGATATGTTTGCTTTGATTTGATTTGATTTCGTTGTTTATTTTGTTTTATTTCCTCTTTTTTTATAACGGCCGCTGCACATGTATTTACTATCTTTGATGTCTGATGATTCACGACTTGTACTCTGGCATGCCATGTAATAGAACCTTTACATATTCTCAATATTCCAGATACTAAGTAGATACCCAAGTAAAGATAATTTAGATATAATCCGTCCATGGATGAATGTAAATACGTATTTCTGCTAACAGTTTAGTACCAAAATGTGTTCAGGGTTCATGGCTGACCTCATCGTCTCCTTTGGGAAATCGACTTTTGGTTCTCCAACTTCGAACCTTTGGCCCTTTGGCCCTTTCTCCCCTCATCAAACTCTGCCCTACAGTGCACAGCATCTGCCTGTAAGGAGTTTCGGGATTGACTCTATCTGTGCCCTTTTTCGATTACGCACTGACACACTCTTATCGAGATTTCCACATTCTTGGAATTCCCTGATGTTCGTCTTGGTTTCGCCACACGCGTCATCCGCAGCGGCAGCTCCAGCTCCAGCTCCAACGCCAACTCCGATTCGAGGCTGATCTCCCTCTGGAACATGCCGGATGCTGTTCCCCGATCCCAAAGACACTGTTGAATCCTTCCCCGTTCCCACTGTACGGGTAGACCCTTTTCATCCGATTATTTTCTACTGCACATCGGCTAGTGCCGCAGATGATACCCGTGCTTGTGTCAAAACCACCATCGCCCTGCACCCTTTTCCTTAGTGTATAATTTCCGCAGCAATGGACCCCCCCCCACTGACCCCAACACCTGGCATCGAGGCCCTGCGACAGCCCACTTCGCCTTCCTCCTCAACAGCTAGTCCGCGAAAACGCCCTCAGCGCACCGATTATCCACTTCACCCCGACACGAAACCTGGGAACGGTCCAATGGGCGGTCGCGTTCAAGACCGGAGACCTGCTACGACATCGGAGACCCAGACCCGCTTCGAAGCGGCCCCCGCGCCTGATAACGAGCCTGGCAAATCTAAGTCTGCGAAACGCAAGAAGAATCGCAATCGCAAACGTCGCAATCGCCAGGAGTCATTCCTCACTCCCGCCAAAGAAGAAATCCACCGGCCTGCCTCCGGCTCGGGGACCGGCGGTGTGAGAGATTCAATGGAAGGCGAGAGGCCAACTTCCAAGGATACCTCGTCGTTTTTCAAATTGGGCAGGAACCTGAGTAATACTAGTCTCGAGAGCGATGCTCTCCTTGACCACCGGTACGTGGATTTCGTGGATGCTTGGTTGGGATGGAAATCTCCGAGATCTTGGGCGTTCTTTCTAACTTCTTGCGTAATTGAACAGGCACCAGCCCATGATGCGACCTCGTCGCGATAGCCGAGTCGGTTCAACATTTCGACCTAGCTCGCTGCTTTCCAGCGGGTTCCGAGGACCTGATGCTCGCTCGCGCAATACACCTGGTGGAGGACGCAATCAGCAATATCAAGACGGAGATAGCGACGGAGACGAGGCGAATGATCGAACACCGTTGATCCGTGGCTCGTCAGGACATGCCTCTGCAACAACTCGCTATGGAGCAGACTCGAGGACAAGCCCGTTTTCGTCTCGTCCACGACGACCATCTGTACAGACTGCATCCTCAGGAATCTCCCCAGGAAGTCACCCAAGCCCGATATACTCGCCAGACGCAGACCGGGACTATGATGTCAACAACCCACCCTCCATCCCCGGGTCACCGAAATTGGGCCCGGATATGAACTACGACGATGCTCTGATGACCGGTGCAGAATTCGATTTTGCTTTGGCTCGAACAACAGAGCTTCGGAGAGGGTCGTCGGGTCCATTGAGTGATAGCTTAATTAATATTGAAGGGGGTCCTCCGCCGAACCATTCTGCGCCGTCGTCTCCTCAGTCTGGGTTCTTCTCACCTCAGGATTTGCGCCGGCGCCGTACAGTTGCGTTGCCGGTTGAGGAGGACGTTTGCTTTCCCAACGAGAATATATCCGAGCTGGGGGACGAGGGTTCGCGCATACACCGTGATGAACTTGTTGAACGCCGACGACGCAGGCATCGACGGTGGCCCGATCTCTCTGTGTTGGAAGAATGGAGTCGCGAGGAGAAGGAGGATCGTAGTGGTGATCTTCGTGTCAAGAAGATCAGTGAACCCATGCTTATTGAAGGCCGTCTTCGCCCGCAGTATAAGTCATGGCGACGCGAAGAAGAAGAGGCTCCGTACCGATTCACCTACTTCAACGAGGAATTCCCAAGCACCATCCACGCTCAAACAATCTCGGAATTGGTGCAGCCCGGAAGTAGCTTCAGAGAGCTTTTCATCCCCGACCCTCCTGAATTGGAGGATTCTTCCGATGATTCCGATTTCGAAGATCACTCTGGCCAAGAGCCTAGTTACTGCGTCCCTGATGGACTTCGGGGTCAGAGCTCTCAGAACGACCTCAAAGCTCAACATCCAGATCCACGAAGTGGTACAGCCACACCTATATTACATACTACAACCAAGAATGGCCAGGATTTCGTTCAAGCGTCAGCAACAACCAATGGCTCTAGAGGTCAGTCTCGCCTGTCAGTCATCAGCGAAGGACACCCAGATTCCCACCGAGAGCTTTCGCCCGCCCACTCAAATCTTGCACCCAAGCCCAAAAGATTCGGCCCTCGGCCGACCTTCTGGCTAGATGTTCTCTCGCCAACAGACGCCGAGATGCGCGTAATCGCCAAAACCTTTGGCATCCACGCGTTAACAGCGGAGGATATCATGATGCAAGAAGCGCGTGAGAAAGTAGAACTGTTCCGCAGTTACTACTTTGTCAACTACCGGACCTTCGAACAAGACACAAACAGCGAAGACTACCTGGAACCCGTGAACATGTACGTGGTAGTATTTCGGGAAGGCGTAATCTCGTTCCATTTCTCGCAAACTCCGCATCCAGCCAACGTGCGACGACGCATCCGCCAACTAATGGACTACCTGATTCTGAGCTCGGACTGGATTTCCTACGCCCTGATCGATGACATTACCGACGTATTCGGACCTCTCATCCAGGCCATCGAGGATGAAGTCGATGACATCGACGAGATGATTATGCAGATGCACTCGTCCAGTAAAGACGGTTCATCTAATGGAAGCCTGCAACCATCGTTTGCGCCGGGCGAAATGCTGCGGCGAACAGGCGAGTGCCGGAAGAAGGTCATGGGACTATACCGCCTGCTCAGTAACAAGGCAGACGTCGTCAAGGGGTTCGCCAAGCGCTGTAATGAGCAGTGGGAGGTGGCGCCCAAGTCGGAGATTGGTCTATACCTGGGCGATATCCAAGATCACATCATGACCATGACAGGGAACTTGACGCACTACGAAACGTAAGTTGACTTCCAACCTTAATTTCAGGCTTTGCCCTTGTTCGGGTTTAGGTTGGTGGATGACAACCCGCTAATCATCTTTCCCTCTTCTAGACTTCTGTCTCGTGCGCATTCCAACTACTTAGCGCAGATCAATATCCTAATGAACGAACGTCAGGAGCAGACTGCCGATGTCTTGGGAAAGCTCACTGTGCTTGGTACCATCGTGCTCCCCATGAATATTATCTGTGGCATGTGGGGAATGAACGTCAAAGTGCCGGGTCAGGATATAGAGAGTCTTTCTTGGTTCTGGTCGAGTGAGTTTTTTTTCTTTCTTCCCCTTCCTTCCCTGTTTTGGTGCATCGCAGTGAAGATCCTTCCAGCAGCGCCGCCCGGTCTTCATGAACGCTAACACTTTCTAGTCACGGGTGGTTTGATATTTTTCGGCCTTGCGTCGTTCCTGATTGCCAAGCGAGTCTATAAAATTGTTTAGATTGGATGCCATGTGGCGTGTGTTTGGGTGACCCTCCCTCCCCCCCCCTTCCTCTCTCTGGATTAGATTGATACCCTTACTTTGCCTTGCTTTGGACCCTGGCTATTCCTTGGTTGTTTGTTACTTGTCACATCCAGGCTTTTGCTTCTCTACTATTCTTATTTCTTCTTCCTTTTTGTACCAAACCTTTTCCCTCTGGCTTCATATACGGTATGCTTTAGGCGATGGCGCTGAGGTTGGTTTATCATTTGGTTTTATTGTGATTGGACGATATACGGGTCGTGATTATACATGTTTGGGAGGCATGTTTGTTAATATTTCAATTCTATCTTGGGTGTATATACCACTCTAAGTAGGTTTAGGACTCCTGACGCTGCGCAGTTTGAGTTGGGTAGGAGACTATTCGATAATTGGAAGTTGCTTTTTCTGCATACAGTATGCACTGACTGGATAATCCATATGAAGTGTTAGTACGTAAGACTTCGTACTGGTAACCTAGGTAGTATACTTACATCTGGAGTACCACTACCACTATCTGATTTAAACAATCACCTTCTGGTATCTGTAGTATCTACCGTGTGAAACCGGGCTATTTGATGAGGTCATTGAGGCTTGTCATTAGAATACCACTGTATTGATGGCTTCCCGCCCCTTCAATATGGGAAATGTCCCCGTTTTATTACCGGGCTGTGTCACCGCAATACCCGACCTCATTCCCCAGGTTTCCAACTTCTCCCAACGTCTTTCTTCATCCTTTCATTTATTTCCTTCCATTTCCTCCATTTCCCTCCACCTTTCAACTTCCCTTCTTTCAACTGTTACTCTTTGATTCCCCCCCCCTTCTCTCCTCTCTACCTCGCTTCTGGGTGGCTTCGTCATCCCAACCCTTCTGAGACCCTCCGCGTGCTCCTGGTCCCCTGCAGTGCGAAGGCCCGCCCATTCCACCCTGACGTGGGCTGCCATCATTGGTCTCTTCCGCGGCCGGCCCTGACCTCTC